AAGAAGAGAAACGCCTTTCTCTAAGTGTCAATAATGTCACAACGAGAGAAACCTCCCTTTTAACCTTTTAGTCTATCTATAACCTGAGAGATATACACAAGAGTGACATTGAGCGCTAATTCAGAAACCCGCAAAGGAAGATCTTATGAATCTCCGACATATACGTGTTCCCAAAATATGATTGCAGCCAATGGTATTCATGTGTCTAATCCCACAGGCTTCTATCTTCACTAACAGTGGTCTTCAGCTCGATGTTGGTCCCCCTCCAGCGATGAAACTGCGTCGTAGATAGATCTCGAAGATTGCCTACGCTTACAATTTGTAAACGGTCTAGCCCAGGGTGTGTGTGTTGTCCCATCTTTCCCTTGATAACCTACGACAAAGAGTTATCTCTTCGCGGAAAGGAACGCCTGGTCGCAGGTTTGTAAGACTAAACTATACAATGCACTGCGCTCACAAATTTGGTCGCTAAATACACATCTGAAACGTTAACTTAAATTCACCGGTCTTTTTATCTATGCCTCTAATATACTGTAGTTCAAATGGTTCGCAAACCTAAGTTTTTAGACATTTCAAGGCTAAAGCAGACCAAATTTGCGAGGCTAAACTAATTAACTCCCTGAACTAGAGAAACCACTCAACTCTTACGGTGAGACCAAATGGGATCCCAGCACAGCAGTTGAATGGTCTGTAATCTCTAGTTGCCTAGATTCTGACTTCAAGTACACATTAGCTGGTTGAACCTTGCGAGTAAAGCCTCACTTGCCCAGAGCGTCAACTGCCAAGTGAAGTGTAATCAATAATTCAAATTGGCGCCACTAAGCGGGAGAATGCAGCGAGGACCACGACGATGACGACGAAGACGACGTAACGGTGAAATGCATCCGTCGGAAAGACGAAGAGAAACCGAATCGAAGCCGAAATTTTTGCAAAAACCTAACTCCTAACGTTGACCGAAAACCTGCAAAGCAACCCACTATTGAAAAGGACAGGGGAGGCCCTTACCAACCCAGGGAACCCGCTAGCTAATCTAACTACGATTAATTAAAGCCGAAAGTAGAAGTCCAGGGACTTCAAGCCGAACGTGTGTGGAAAGTATGCTTTGCAAGGTTCATCCAGAGCTCTATAAATTAACCTCCCTTGACCCAACCCATAAGGAATGGACCTGACCTGTATCAAAAGTAGCTCATTAGCATTCTGTCTGTAGGCTGGGCGTGCTGTGAAGACATTAAGGTAGTTGGTGGACTGCGGGAAGGTGGTCTGCTCTGGTGGTCTGACTGACTTAAGTTGGTCTGGTTTGAAGGCCTGAATCGGAAGAGAATGGTCTGGAATAAGGTCCGGAATGATCTTTGTTCGGTCCTGTCTCTAAGTGTGTTCGTGCTAAACGATCTCGTCGGGCAGTGCCTCAGAAAATTGGTCTGGACTGCGCATGTGTATCTGAAAAATGCCAGGAGTTACACAACTTCAGTTGAAGCAGCCCGTCAGGAAAGGTTAGGAAATATAAAAGAAGAGAAATTTAAAATATGACGATGATAATGATAATAATATAATGACAATATTATTATAATGATAAGGAATTAAACGCGATTTACATTCTAAAATGGTTGAGAGGCTATGCCAGGAATCCTGTTTTCAACAAACATATTGTCCGCACTGATCCCTTGTGGTATTATAATAATCAGAAGGGATTGGTTGAAAAATAAAGGCATTGTTTCTTAGGATGATAATTTGTTTTTCTCTTTGAATAACCACTGAGTGTCAGGAAATATAAGCACTAGTCTCTTTGGGCTGCATAAGGGCTCTTGTCGGAAGATTCAGGTTTTGTTTTTGACAAGGTCAACTGATTGTTGTCGTTACAAGAAATAGAGTAATAAATGACAGGAGGTGAACCAGTCTTTCAAAAAGAAACATTAAAATTAAATGCTTTCAGAAGGTCATGCGTCTGAGAAACATGAAAAAGGATCAGCGGCACCCAACGGCAATTTTCGGGAAAATATCTGTTCGGAAGACGATTTGAGATCTAGAATTTTCGGAACATTTGTTGTAAAATTTCTTGCTTGCCTGCCTCTCCTAGGATTTTCGAACATCTACAAAATGGTATAATGACTCATTTTTAACGGATTTTGACCCTAAAAAAGGCCACCTAGAATTTTCGGGAGCCTTTTCCTGGCTGAAATTTTCGAGAAGGTAAGTTTTTATCCCTATAATTTTCGGATCACTAGATTTTCAGCTAGGAAATCCGAACAGATGAAAAGTTTTTAGGGGATAAAAATATGCCTATATCTACCGTTTGAATACTAAAATACGTTCAACAATGCTATGTTTAAGTGGTTTTGAACTATATCCTCGTTGGGTGCCCCTGAAGGATTCGCCTAGGACTCAAGTATTTTATTATGCATTTAGCCCGACTCAGACTCCAATACGCATATGAGAGCACCAATGCATGTGAATGTTCACGGCATTGAGGGCCATACAGAAACCTTACAATAAAACTATAAATTACTGGCCACAAAGTTGAATGATCTCTTGCTATTTAAAATTTTACTAGAAACATTAGAATATTATAAATATTGGAAAATTTAAAAAAAAATGTATTCAATATTTGATGTTTCAATACTAAAATGAAGGACTGAAAACAAGTTTCGAGTTCCCAGGGAAGGGCAAGTCACTGATTCACACAGTTCGAATGATAATACTTCAATAAAATGCAATAACTGAAACAAACGTATTCCCTCGCTTATCGCTATAAATTGAATTACGATAACTTATTTTAAAGACAGGTAAGTGTCTTACCTCATGAAGGTTGAGTTGTTGTATTCCATGCCGGCCACGTGGTGATTTTTGTGGAGCAATAACCAGGGTGAGTTAGTAGGTAGTTCTAATTCCACTAAATATTTCTGTAATGACCAAAAATTAATTCTTGATGAGCAAGATTATCAGTATTGACAAACATGGAAGTTAAACTGCAAAATAACACATTTTAAGGCGCACTCTGCATGAAGTATACACTTCGCAGCTCAACTGAACGTACATTATACTCTCAAAGGCAACCTGTACATACCTTTCTGGTTCAAATTCAGCCAGTCGGGTAATCCCATCATGTTATTATTATTAGAATTTTTGAAATATGATAAATGAAGACTACTGCGAGATAACTAAGCTTGTAAAGGAGAACTTTGTCTTTTTAGAGTTCACAGAATCGTTCGTTGGCAACATTTGGTGGTAAATTTGCATGTTCCTGCGCCAACATACCTTTAAATTTAAATTTTGGCGCCGCTAGGTACCTCGTGACTAGAATAGCGTTTCCTGATTGGCTTTCACCATTACACGTGCAAATCCAGTAGAAACAAAGGTTGATTTTACGGGAGAAAACATGCTTCAGTGGGTAAGTCAGAAATCTTTAATTTGTTCTCTGCTCTTTATTTTCGTTCTTTACGGCGATAGGTTTCTGTTTGTCGCTTAAGAAGTCTTTTATCGGGTTGGGGATTCCTACTGTTTACGCCAATGTTTATAAACACGGATCAACAAAAAAGCAATTTATATTCTTGATGCAAAAACAATAATGCACAGTAAAAAGCTTTGTTCGAAAAGACACATCTTCACTTTTGCTGTTTATAAATAATCGCGCACTGCTCGCGCAGAATCGTCCAGTATCCAATTATTCAAAAGCTGGATAGGCGCTATCCACCTCGCTGTACAGTGGATAAATACTAGGAAAAACAGTTGCATTCACTGGATAGTCGATGATTTATCCGATAGATAGCTATATCCACCTTTTGAATAACAGGGTCTAGAGAAAGGGTCTCAATCATTTCACCGTGAAACGTTTTTCAGGGAAAAAATATCGCCAAGAAAATCATGCACAATAAAGTCCCCATCGTTTGTCCAGTTTCCTTTTTTTGAAATTCTGAACATGTGGCTTGTCATTTTAGTTAATATACGTTATAGGGTACAAGCAGACCTCAAGAGTTTCATTTGCGGGTAAAATTTGATAAATATTTCCATCTAGGTATTCGATCGAGTGAAAGATAGTGCCAATCGACCATATACATATTCATGCAGTTCTCTGAAAATACTTTTGAGCCAGGCCTCAAACCAATTGGTCGCGACTAAATTGTTAAATCACGTAGCTAAGAGCTCAGTTTCTTTCTAATCTGTCGCACCATTAGCTCCCGTCTTGTACAAATTAACTTGCTGATGAAAAGACGACTTCTATACATTATTTCCACGATGTCATTTACTTGTTTTTTCCCTGTCTTTCAGAAAGTAAATTATTGACAACTTTTCACAAAAGAGTTTTGTAGAAAAGCATAATTAAAGTAGCAGCTGGCTGTCAGGTACTGTGTACAGTCGCTGTGAAAACTGGGGTGAAGAATTTCATCTTCAACTGATAAACCAGGCTATTGTTATACAAATCACTGTAAGGGAGAACATAAAATCCAGTGACAAAGGAAGTTAGTTATCTCAGTACTTTATTGACAGCAGTCAAAGAAAATATTTTCAAACCAAAAAATGGCAGTTACTATAATATGCAAGCAAAAAGTCTTATGCTAGCAAGAAACTTAGAATAATTGAAAATTTTCAAATATGATAACGAAAAACGTCGAAGATGTTATATACCAAAAATTAACGTAAACACAATTTTTTAAAATTTGAGTTTATTGATGGGTTGTTAACAAGGGCACATAAAACTCGGCGCTTTTAGATTTTATCTGCCTTATTATTCGACTAGCAATTTGCCAGGTTTTTCGTAAGTAAAAGGTGTTGGTGGATTCTAGTAATTGAAAAGCGAAATAGGGGGCAGCGACGGCTATGATTAAGAAGAGCTTTTTCACACAAGTGTTTTTTCTTCGTTCAGCAGCCTGATTGGCAGGCGCTGCGATATGGACTGACGTAGCAGCTCAGTCGTTTAGATAAATTATCTGATCTACGCAATGTAGGAGACAAAAAGAACTTTGAGATAGCCATAGGAGCAACCTGATTCGAAAAATATACTGAATATGAACAACTCAACGCCTCCAGGCTCTGAAGAACACACGTGTTTTAAAGTGGATATATTCCCGTTGTTCATCTTTGCGTTTTTGGTGAACATCTTTGCTCTTGTTGCTGTTCTAAAGGCGCCACCGCGATCAACAACTACAAACGCTGCGAGACAAATTCATCTGCTGATATGTTGCCTATCTGCTTCGGATACTGTATCTGTTGGTTTACAATGTTTAATGCCCATTGCTTCGTTCATAAATTGTGGCTGGTGGGGAGGACAGGCAACTTGTTCTCTCTTTGGCTACCTCAATGCAATTTTGATTATCTGGTCTGCGTGGATCGTGGCACTTCTAAGTTTTCAGAGATTTCTTTGTACCGTCTCCCCCTTTAAACACCAATCCAAGTTTACAACAAAGCGAATCAAGAAGGCGCTGTTGTTGTTATTTCTTTTCACGTCTGCGTTTTTTACTCCTCCTTTACTTGGAATTGGCGAATTTGTTTATTACAAAACTGGTCAGTTTTGTAGCTTGAGTTTAACTCCTACTGGATTATCAGATTCAATATTTCTTTCGCTTGTTGTTGCCCATGGATTTGTATGCGTTTTCTTAATCTTGTTCTTCAGTCTTCACGTCATTTTCTCTCTAAAAGCAAGACGAAAGGTTTTCCAAGGAAGAATACCTCGCGCTGTGGAAGATTCAACTTCGACATTTGTTTCCTTAACGAAAGCGATTGCATTTGTGTTTTGCATTTGCAACTTTCCTCTCTTGGTATGTTATACCGTGATAGGAGTGTAGTTTTATTTTTGGATGAAAATTATTCGACGGCACAGATTTAAAATGAGATTGGTATATAGTAATAAAGATTGTTCCGGCTGACAAAAATTAATCGATCGATTAAACCTTCTTCTGAAATATCAAATTATTGTAAGCCAACATAACCTTAGCCTGTTCCAGGCCCTAAAATAGTAATGTGCAGAGATTCAGATGACGCGCGTCTTTTTTCTCGCCTGGCTTGCTTTTCGCGACGCCCCTTCGTTCCTCATAAGCCCTTATAATCCCTTCCTCATAAGCCCGGTGGCTTCCCTTGGGTTTCCTTGCCATTAGCTTTTTAAATATTTAGATTTTCTTGTTTTTTAGTCCACCGTTATGGCAAAATAATCGACAATAAACTGCCAGGCATGCACAGGCTACAAAAACAAGGCGAGTTGCCAACAAAACCAATAACAGAAACAACAAATGAAATGGACAGGAAAGTGTTTTTATAGTTTTTCTACATTTTAAAGGTCCCATACTTAGCCTGTGCAACGCGAAATTGGAAGCACCGTTTCGTATATGTGGGCATCCCTACTTCGCCCAATGACAAAAGGGCTTGAAAAAGTTAATACTGGCCTTAGAACAGTACTATTTTCTTGTCTCCGATTTTTGCTCACTGATTTGTATAGACTTATGCTACAGTCAAAATTCGCTAGAAAATTGATCTAGAAATACATTAGTCTGAGAAAAAAAACGGCGTTGCATGGGCACAAGGAAAACGGCGCTCGCTCCGGGTTGTAGGATCCTGCTGCGACTTATCAGTGACCAGCGCTTAAATTTTAATGCCCTTGGATAATCTCCCTTCAGAGCTGCTTCATCCTGTTAGGTTCAATCTTCACCTTTCTCTTTTTCTCTATTGTCGTTTTGTTTTACAGATCCGTATTGCAGTAGACTTAGGAAAACAGACTTCACGCGATGAACTTGGACTGGAGCATACCATCACAATGGCGCTACTGTTTGCCAATCCTTTGACCAATCCGTTCATATACGTGGCTTGCAGAAGACGTTATAGAAACAGTCTTAAATTGCTTTTTTGTAGACAATGCAATGGCGTGGCTCCTGCGGATAATTTAGCGTTTGTTATTGTCTATGCAGCAAGAAGTTTCAAAAGAGGTCAAAGTGCTAAACAAGCCACATCTTATCTGTGAATGATTCCTTTAGGAAGTATAGCCGTTTTTGTCCGTAAATAAAATTAAAATTTATAATTTGTTTTTATTTGACTCTCTGCACTCGAAAAACGCTCGTTTATTCAATTATAATGTTTGTAACTAGGAAGAAAAGTTTTAACTCTCTTCAGGATACTATATTCATGGGCTCCTGCTCTCTTAAGATTTTGAATTTTTAAATTTTGTTTGTCGCCCATAAAGTTTTGAAAATAAGAAATAAATTTTGTTGTTGTTGTTTCTTATCTTTTTCTTTTTTAATTAAACTTTTCTTCACAAACAGCACCACATTGCAACTACGGACGAGCCATGAGAAAGCGTCAAACGGTTACGCAATATGATGTGACCCCCTAGACTCAATAAAATAAAAATATTTTTACAGAACAAAAGAAAGGGAGGATAATCGTGCAAAAATTAGTCAGTGTACATGCACTTTTTGAAAAGTTCTTATTATCGGTAAACAGCTCAGTGAGATTTATACATGTAAAATGCCAAGGTTCCATGACAATGACGTAATATTACAATGTCACTTTCTTCAACAAAATATTCTATTATTCTACGTTAGTCAAACTTTTATAACAACTCAATTTTTGTACAAGGAATCATTTGGAATGATTTTTTTATTCTTTAAGTTCATGTGGGAATTTTTTTCCTACCGTAAAATAAGCTTTAAAGGCTGTTAAACTTCTCCAGTGAACTTCGCATTCACAAGGCTGTCGCCAGGAAAAGTTTGCAAAGAGTTGGGAAGCTTGACGAGAACATTTGATATCTACGGTAAGTATAACTGTGTTTTAATGCATTTGTTGTATTAAACTAAAATTTTGTGTTGCTTTTAATATACACAAAGTGACATTTTTGCTAGTTACGACGGTAGATACTGTGCATGTTCGCCAGAGCATAAGATCTAGAAAACCCGAGGCACCGGCATCCAAAAACGGATTTTTTACTATGATGTCGACTTAATGACCTTTGTTGAAGAGACTGATACATGTCTAAAGACTTTCTACATTTGACTAAATTGACATGAGCTGCTGGAAATGTTTGTTCTTGATTTGAAACGTAATCACAAATAAACGTTGATGGGTTGACGTTCATTGCCACTCGCCGTCTTGCTCCGTTATAAAGAGTTTGACTGGGATGAACGTCGAGCCGTTCAGTGAATTATGTCCGACAGAATTAATAATATCAAATAACTAAGGTTTGATTATCATTATTTACTGCTTCAGATACATTTACGAAGATGCTCAACCTCGTTCCCAGGGTTCTCTCCTACCCGCCCTAAGGAGCGCTCCGTAGGGCGGGTAGGAGAGAACCTTGGGAACGAGGTTGGAAGATGCTGTGTTCGTTGCTATCATTGTTTTCTTGGCCTTCATCACCTCGTTCCAGAAATCATCTCGTTTCCCAGAAACGTACGATGATCCGAATTTTTAGTCCCATATTACTTGTTTTTTGTCTGACCTGTTGATCGAATGATTCTCGCATATAGTGGATGAAGATCGAGCGCAACAATTAAAGTACTTTCACATGGTACTATTTATTTAGTATGTAGTTCTAACTTTTTTAGTTTGTGGATCAAATCCTATGGTGTGGCCATTCAAACGAAACCTGTTCAGCAGGACTTTCACATAATACTATTTATCAAGCCGCGTAGTTTTGAGTCTGTTTTGAGTCTAGACAACCTTTGTTTCCGCTTTTATCAAAGTCGTTACTCTCATTCCATCTTACAAAGTACCCATTTATACACCTGGGCAAAGAGAGTCAGGGTGGAGTAACGTTCCTTGTCTAAGGAAACAACGCAACGGGCGAGGCTTGAACCGCCGAACTTGAACTTCAGGATCCGGAGTCGCGAGGTGTTAACCGCTTGGTCACAGACGGCCACACGTCCGGATAAGGCTGTAGGCAAATAAAATTGATTAGTGAAAGTTTTTCTGTAAATTTTTTTCAGTTCCCTGATTGGTTCATTAACAAAAATGGTGCGTTTCACTACCTTGGCTTTCCTGGCATTGGTCATCTCACTTCAGGCGCTCTCTGGATGTGATGCTATATTACGAGTTCGAAAAAGGAGGTCGGGGGTCAGAGTGAACAACAACAACAACAACAACAACAACAATAACAACAACAACAACAACAATAATAACAACAACAACAATAACAATAACAACAATAATAACAACAATAACAATAACAATTTGTGGTGGAATAACATTCCTCCATTGCAAAACGAAGTAGCTTACGTCGTTGCTATCCACGCTGGATCTACCGGCAGCACATTGTTCATCTACAAAATCAGCCTTAACAGGAACGTAAATGTGGTCACTGTGTCACGCATTGAGCTGTTGCAAAACTCTCTTGGAGAAGTCAAACCGGCGCTGTCTTCGCTGACAAGTCAAAAATGCGAAGTTTCCTCCTACCTCGAGAAGTTTGTTGAGGAAGCGAAAAAGATTGTTCCGGAATCCAGCTGGCTGTCAACACCCATTTTATTTCTGGCGAAAAAAGGAGCAGATAAAGCTGTAATGGATAAAGTAAGTAATTCACCTGCATTTCTTATTCCTCATGAGCTTGCTACGCCAGTGTAGGAAAAGAGAAGAAATTAATTCGAATTGTGAGCTATAATTTTTTTTTTGTGAAGAGACTGCAAGGCCAAGCACTGCACATATATAATTTGACTGTTACTTGGTATGGAACCTTTTGTAATTGTAAAATTATCAGTAAGATAAAAATTAGACAAACATGAAAAGTACTAAAAAACAGCTTCACAGGTATTTTTGCTTACACCCAAAATCAACTGAGCAGATTAAATTGGCGTGTAAGTAGACCGTGTGGTATCTTCGCCTTCTTCTAAAAGGCAGGCAGATGGCTAAAGTATTCATTTATGCACGGAAGAACTTTCGTCATAGATATTTCTTTCATTGTTAGTAACCTTCACAATGAAATTCATTAATAAATGTACAAAACCTTTAAATTGACACTAACAACTGTAACTGTTTGTCATAACCACAGGTGAAGGACGTGCTGCGGGATAAATACGTTTCGCCATTCCTGTTCAAAGATGACAATGTGGTGACCATTTCCAAAACGAATGAGGCATTCTTTAGTTGGATCTTCAACGCCCTTCAAATTCCAGTTGTTGTGCTCTTTACACCATTTGCTTAGCCACTAACAAGACCGTTCCCAAGGAAGCTTTCCTGGATTAAAGCAGGCCGGAATCTGCGTTGAATTTTTTGCTCATGACTATGTTTGTTATTGCACTCTTCGTATTGTACAAATCTTCTTGGTGTGTTACTCAAACATTTGAAATTATTTCCAACTTCGTTTGCTATTAATTAAGATGTTAAGACCTGCAGGATAAAACTGGCAATAATGCTTAAAGCCCTTAAAATTAACTGTCGCCTGTTATTGCAAACAAATTTCAAAATGGTTATTTTCGTCATGTAATTATTTGGGTATGATAACATCAAAGCTGTGTTTTGATTGGTAGACTCATTTGACAAAGTAAAGGAGTTCTGAGCACACAATGTCAATTCAAAGACTGAAATTAAACCTGTCAAGAGTAATTAATAAAGTTAATCGTGTAAGTGATGCTTTTCCTTGGCTTTTGTTTAAAATAAAGTCAGCTGTCTATCAATGAACGAGTGAATCGGTCCTTTCGTTTTTCTGTCAGTTTATGGTTTTTTACACTTAACGGAGGTGAGGCGGAGGAGTGGGATCAACATTCTGCGATTAGATCAATCAGATTCTTGTTCCGCGGACTGGTAGTGATCAAAGCCAACAGGCTCTCGCCCCGGGGCTCTCGTGTCTGTTCCATTTCCCTTTACGTCGCCTCTCCCGGGTGGGCTAAGGGGGATTTTTTGCTAGCTCCAAAAGCTACATGAGCATTGAAAGGCCACTTTCAAATTCAGTTCAAAATGTCACAGTTACTGATCAGATGACTAAGCGTTACGACCCGATGGTGCTTATTAGTCCATCACGTTTCCGGGGCTTTTCCCTTCTCGTTCTAAGAGAGATTAGTGAACTTAAGCAAAGACGTTTTTGAGCGACGCACGTCAACCGGAAGTGGTCTTTTTTCATTTTTGGACAGTGGCTTTGCCCATCTTTTAGGACAACACGTCTCTATAATAGTTAAGACACTTAGAAATACAAATTTGGGAGCGTAAAGGTGCTTTAAAATGAGAACGACCTCACTTCCGGTTGACGTGCGTCGCTCAAAAACGCCTTTGCTTAAGCTCCCTAATATCTGCAGACCAGTAGCGGAAGCTACTTCCCCCGGAACTTTTTAAATACCAAAGCCGCGTGGGCGACCCCATCAAACGTTACGTTTGAACGGGAAGTGAGATTTTCCCTTTTATTATGTCCCTAACACTACAAAATTCGCAGTGTTAACTGAGTTTTTCCTAAATTAACTGCAATAAAGACGATTTGCCTGGAAAATTTGGGCCAAACCACTGCCCAAAAGTGCAAAAAAGTCCATTTCCGGTTGACGTACGTTCAGGCGCGTGGAAGACCTTCCAATCTTCCTTGGTTGCCACTATTGATATTAATGAGCTAACCAGAAGCGCTTTGTTATTGGAACAACTAGGCTGGATTCATTTATTTAACTTTTTATAAATTTGAATAATCAAAACAATGTTTGTAACCTGAGTGATGTCTCCTATAATTGTTGTTTAGTGAAAGTAGTTGAAAGTATTTTCTTAACTTTCTAAGAGGAAGGAGGTCATTAAGGGACCGGAAATGAATTAAAGAGTTCCTTTCTCTCTTCTTTTTCTAACACCTTTTGGCGGATTATCCAGCTAAACTAAGCGGATTCCGAATGCGGTATCATAGTGAGGAGACTTGTCAAAAACTAGGGAATCACTTTCTGAAAGCCTTTTGAACCATAAAAGGAAGGCAAGCTCTTCCACTGAAAATTCTTTCCCCGAAAAATATCAAAACCGGCGTTTGTTGTTTTGTTATACCTTGGTTTCCGTCAAAGTTTTGCGGCCAGCACAGACAGTACAGAGTTCTTGCTTTAGTTTTTGTTACGATTTTCTCTTGATCCAAGATTTTTCAAAAAAGAATTATATTCACCTTCTTTTTCAGTAAAAGAATAAGAATTTACCCGCGTATTTTCGAATTTCCGCCCATTGGAGACTCACACGGTACTAAAGGTCAGCGGCTTACTGTATGCAAATCATGTGATCAAATTCTCCGCAGAGGAAGTGAGATGTATTTCCTGGCGATGAATTGGAGTTTTTTATACGAAAAGATGTATTATTAGCGTTTCAGACGCAGCATGTGAACGTCGCACATGTTAGCTAGCATGCTTTTTATCTTCTACATCGAAAGAGATGAATGTAAAGGAGAAGGCCAAAGCTTTTGAAGGTAAAAATCACAAAGCACTTGTCCAATTCGTGACCTAACTTGGGGAGTAGCACAAATATTTGGGGGGTGTTTCTTTTGACTCGAGCTTAGATCAGTTTTAGTTCCACTGCTGTAAATTTGGTTTACAAGCAAAACCGTTTATCTTAACGCAGAACACGTTCTTAGATGTGTCTTTACATGTCTGAGACATATTTAAAGACAGGAATACATTTGGGCTTTGTGTATTTCCTCCTCGCTTATCAACACGTCGGATGGAAGCCTTGATCAATATCACGTTTCAAATCGTTTACTTTTTGGCTTGTATTTTGATGCCTTTATTTTGTGTATGATACTTTGCCTGATTTGCAGTGAGGCAGTCGTTAGTTGGAGAAAGCCCTCCGCCGAAGAAAAAAAGTCGCGAAGAACTCATCGGTGAGGCATACGTAATTGCAACTTTATGAATTAACTTCAAGTGTCAAAGCGTCATGTCATACCTCTCACGATCCTAACTGAAGTCTTATTCAAGTACTTCTTTTTCCTTTTTTTCCCCTTCATCTCAACGTTTTCTACCCTGATTTTAAGCGTGGTCTCTTACATTTCCCGTGGATAAAAGTATTTCGGAAATTATTTGTTATTAGTAAATGCTATAATCTTGTCACCTTCAAATAAGAGGTCTGGAGTATCAAATTCAATTGTCTACGGAGTCATCGGCTTCGAAATAACCATGGTAAATTTTATTTAATCGTTCGTCAAACTTAATTTACATTCATGTTCCTCTTACGGCAATTTTGGTTTCTTTGAAGAATTAATTTATAGGCCTTATAAAGTTTATACTTATAGTGTACTCAGTATTACTTGTTTTATTTGTGCGGCAGACATGTTTAATCTTGTGAGAGTACCTTAAAAGGATGATGAGGACTTAACTGTTTAAATTTTTTTGGGAAATAAAAACTGTTTTGCCCTGTACTAGTCTGCAGTGTGCAGATTCCCCTGCTGATCAACAAATAACTAAGAATGGTAAAGGTTTATGTATCGATTTTGTTTCCCAAAAAGTGTCTCTGATATTCATGTTTTTAAGATTACTCTCAGATTTGACATTTAGGCTTCCACAGCAATGCCTAAGCCAGGCATAAATGTTAGGAGATATTTCTTAAAATAACCTGAGATCAGCCAATATCATTCTTTAGCAGCTCTGTCGCATTTCTCTTACCTGGCCACAGAAAATTTTCTTTTCATTTCATTCAAGTAATACAGAAATGTAGTCTGATCTCTGGTTATTTATATTTAAGAAAATAGAACTGTTTCAAGTATAAACACTTTCTTTTGCAGGAAACACATGCGATGACAATAATACCCTTACAAAGTAAGTTGCCTAGCATTTACACATTAATTTTTATTATTATTACAAGATGATTCTAGATGATAAAGAGTTACTTGTTAGCTGTGGACCTCGAAGGCTGTTGACTTAGACAGAGGAAAATCCTAGCACCAGGAGGATCCTAGAAGGTGGATCATCCTTGTGCCGTATGTTTTCTGTATTTGGTTGACATGCAAAGGGTTGTACTTGTCCCTAGCACTAGGAACTTGCTAAGAAGTACTAGAATCTTCCCTGCTGAGAGGCAGGAAGTTCCTAGCACGAGGAAGATCCTAGCATCATGTTAACTGCTATTGTTAAGAAGATTCTAGTTTTAGGGACAAACCGGACAAAACTGGCGGCAGGTCGTTCAATGGGTAATCACAGCAATAAGGGCCAACAATTCTGTTTCCTGTTACTAAGTCATAAAGCACAGACAGTTGCTGCTGAAAGGTTGTTATTAACCAGGGCAGAAGGACCCAAATTGCATGTTAACTACTGTCGCCCACCATCTTTCATAATGCCATCTCCTTTTGGTAACCACACAAACCAACATTTCTGTAAGTAAACCCAACAAAAATTTGTTCTGCCGTCTAGGATCTTCCTGTTGCTTGGATCTTAATCCCTCCACATAAACAGCCCTGTAGACGAATTTCACAGTGCCTGGTAATCGGAAGCTATAAAAAGATGCCATTTGTTTCCAGAAAACAATATGCCTCTGATAACTTACTTTTGACAAGGCTGTGCTCTAAGGAAAATTGAAGGGAGTCCAGTACTCTGAACCTGTAAAATCTAGGGTGCCCAGCATATGATCAATATGAAGAAAGTAAGATTTTCCAGTTGCCCAAAAGCAAAAGTTTATAGGCACCAGGGGCCACCGGGCTCTGCTACAGCACAGCCCTGTGTGAGTAGATCTATGTGAATTGTTTGTTGTGAATCTCTCGCTGCCATCTTGCTTTCTTCAAAAGAAAGTGGAATTTGAGCTCTAGTCAGGGCATGTGTGTTGTATTGTGTGATCTGTGCATGAATGGTAAATGTACTTTGAACGTGCACATGCAAAAGGCCAAATTTTGTGTATCAGTAAAATTAATGTCAGTCTACTGAGACAATTAACCTAGGTTGAAGCCTCTTGGATGTATTCCACATTTAATGCTTGTGATCTACAGATAGATCTGGTACAAGTAATAATTTTGTTAATTAATTTACATGTAGTAACCATTTCTTTGCTCCAGGGAGTGAATAAAATCTTACTTTATTCAACGGTAGTCATCAAAGGTCATAAATGCATGTCAGTGACTCTGGAAATTAGTTTAAAAGGAATAAAATTCTCCTAGTGGGAGTTTTGATTTAAAAAGAAATTCTCTCCACTATAAAGTAACAGCAATACATTGTAAATGCTGTAGAAAGCATTGTGGAGAAACTGCATACATGGTGATGGAATCGTTAGGTTTTTTATTAGTTATTTCAGACTGTGCTACATGCATGTCATGTGAGTTACAACTACAGACTTTATGGTGTCAAACTTGGCTAAATTAGAGACATAACATCACATGCTCACGTTGGTTTGAGAATTGTCATCCTCAATGTGCATAAAGGCTTTTTGTATTTGTGTTAAACTTTTATTTTTCTCTAACAACAGGTCTTCATCTCCTCCTGTCCCCCCTCCAAGGAAATACAAAAAAAATGGGACTCCTAAGCAGGCCGGAGATTTAAGTCCATGTACAGAAAGCAAAGAAAATGTCCCGTCAATAATTCCTGTAAAACCCCCGAGCAGTACCAGCTCTTCAACGCCACCGAATGATGCTCAAGGACAGAAGAGGAAACCCGTAAAACCAGCTCCACCAAAAAGGGTAAGCTCTCTTGGTCGTAAAGCCACAATGCCTACAAATGCACATTCTCTTCCTGTTGGTAAAAAGCCAAGACCTCCAGTTCCTCCAAAACCAAAGAACTATGTTCCTAAGAAAGCTTCACTTCCTGCTGGTGGTAGTATGAAAAGTGATGAACAAGGCAAGGATCAGACAACTAAAGGAAGAGCCGATTCAGCACCTTCTATGCCCACTTCCAGTTTGTCTGCTGATCATGACTCAAAATTTTTTGTTAACTTGGAAAAGGAAAATAACACTGTCCCTTGTGAAAGTGCTGATGTTAAGAGGGCATCTCAGTTTTTTGTGTCTTTGGATCACGATCAAACGCCAAGTGCCTCTGCTACAAAGGTAGAAACAGAATCAGGGAAGCAAAATTCTAGTGCGAGTGTTACCAGAGTTGAAGCAGATGATAACGAAGTTACCTGTGTTGTGAATGCTAGCAGTAAACGTGAAGTGTGTCAAAATGGTGTTGCCTCGGTACATGCCAGATCAACTTTTTACCATTTTCCTGCAGAATGTAATTCAGGAAAGGAGTCCCCAGACCCCCTTGAAGGGCTTGAAATAGAAGCTGATTTTATGAGCGATGGTGAAGGAGAAGGAGTTTCATCTGACAAAGAGAGAAGGAGCAAACTTGAGCCTGACTCTGTGGATGTCAATGGTGCAGCTGCAACAGATGATGTGGGTGTTGTTTTGAAAGAGCAGGGCGGCAGTGAATTAATACCAGCAGGTACTGATGAAAATGTTAAGGTCATGTTTAGTCTTGTGCTTGAAGAGGAGTGCTCTGTATCAATGGTTGATGCTGCTGATGTCCAGCAAAAACTTTTTGATGTCACAGCGACGGAAGATGGTAAAGAAGCTGAATCTTTGACTGAATTCAGTAATGACACTGAAAATGTGATTTATCCTGAAAAAAGTGAAGAAGTACTCGAGGATAGTTTATCCACAGAGCCATCACATTCAGTTACTGTTCAAAGTGAAGGCTATGTTTGTGATGTTAAGGTTGAGAAACCCACTGAAGATTTGCAGGTATGTGGGCAAGACTTTGTTTCAAACAAGGATGAAGGTACCCAAGAAAACATTTTTGATGGTGAAATGCCTATTGGTGAGACTCACAATAACAAATTCAAGAATTTAGAACCAAAATATGATACCCAGTCAGATAATTTAGATCTACAAACAGAGGTGCTTGCAAATGGTACACCTGAAGTTACACTGCTGCATGCTGCAGAAGAAAATACGGACATAATCATAGCTGAGCCTGTGAAAGAGGGGTTCTTTTCATCAGTTAGTGACCATACAATTTCCAGGGGTAGTGTTGAAATAGCGGAAGAAGAAAATAAATGTTTGAGCACTGATGAAGGTGTTGTTAAAGTAGAAGAAGAATCTCAGTGGAGTAGTTCCCTGTCTGAGTGCACAAGTAATGTTGTACAGACTGTTTCTGAAAAACTGCTAGAAGAGGTCAGTGAAGGAATAGAGAATATTAGTAGTGATGCTGGACAATCAGAAGTTGATGTGACTGAAAGCCCACCTGAAAGAGGAGAGTCCAAAGATGTTTTTATAGAACCAAATATTGAAGAAACTCCAAGGGACGAGGTGGTTAACGAACAACATAATGAAAAAGATAGCTCAGAAAATACAGATTCATTTGCAGACTCAGATGGTCTGGTGAAGCTGCAATCAGACAAAAAGCTTCCCATCTGTGCAGCAGAAACATGCACTGCAAATGATCTTAGTGATAATTCTATTGAAGGACTCGAAGATGGTAAAAAAGATGACGTTGTACCTCTGGAAAGAGTTGATGTATTAGTAGCTGATTCACAAGAAGTCAAAGATGACAGTAAACCAGAATCACCGTCCTCTCCTGAGCCAATACCTCCAGCAAGAAGGAGTCGCAAAACTCCACAAGGAAAACATGCTTATGAAAATGCTGAGATATTTAGTTCATTGCATGGAGGAAATGCACAAACAGACAATGAGAAAAAGGACAATTCTCTTAGAAGGACTCAGTCTTTTAGTAAGTATGAGACTACTGTGTTATCTTTGCAACGCCCGGTCCAGCGTGTATCTGACGATGAAGCCATTTACAGGGTACCAAGTAAGGTGGTGCCAGTTCAGAGATACACTGATGATGATTCATGTCTGTATAGTGTACCTCATACAATTCCAACCCATCGCATAGACAGAGATAATGGTTATGCTGTACCAAAACCTATCATTGTCCAAGCCAATGCAGTGGTGGACAGACTTAAAGCAGATGAACAGGGAGCGATATATGCTGTGCCAGGTATGCCTACACCAGTCCCTGCTGAAACATTTCCCGACCAGTCAATTGCGGAGGCCACAATGACGCCACAGGATGAGCGAAACATTTATGTTGTTCCTGGCCGACAGAATGCCGATGTGACAGTATCAGCAAAGATCTCAGTGGTCCCACCACCAAAACCACCGAGACTTAGTCTCTATCTTGACCAGGATAAGACTGAGAAAATTCTAGGGGAGGGGGCTGGCATAAAAGAGGTCCCCAGACCAGCCCCAAGGACACGAGCTGTTGATGATGCAATGCAAGAGCTTAACAAGCAGAAAGGGTCACCCAGCCCTGTACCAAGAAGAAGTTCCAAAACAGAGGCTTCTGGATCATCGACACCAGAGAATAAAGGTTCGCCAAGTCCTGTTCCAAGGCAGGGTTCCAAAACGGGTTCTGGAGCTTCTACGCCTGAGAGGAAAGGATCACCAAGTCCTTTACCAAGGAGCTCATTGCAGAAGACAGAGACTGAATCAGAATCACAAGGAACTAATTCCCCTGTCCCGGTCAGACGAAACCGTGTAAATGCTCTTCAGACAAACATTGATGCTTCCTCATCCTCAGTGCTACCATCATCTTCCGAGGTATCCGTGACAGAAGGCACAGAAGATGATGTTCCTAAACGTAAAGTGCCCCCTCCACCTCGGCCGCCACCTCCTGATCCGGTGAGAATAAGTATTGCCAGCTGTCAAGATTCTCCTTTTGCTCCTCCTCTGACTCCTGGTCTGGAATCCGACTCTGATTCTGATGTAGGTGAAGTGGAGACGCCAAAAGTGAGTATCATCACAGCTGTGAATCACTGTACATTTAGGAGGGTATCAATCAGGTATAGCAATATCCACTGTATAAATCTCTGTTGACTGGATAATGCAATTTAGTAAAATCCAACTAGTGGTCTATTATCAATGCTGCGTTCTGGTTGGTTGAGCTACTACTGGGCTATATGTTATAGCCCACCAGTAGAGAAAAGCGTGGGCTTTTTGACGGCAAAAAAGGATTTAAGTCTAGCTTTAACTAGCTGAAGTTTTTTGTCTCGATATTTTGACCAACTGGTTGGATTTTACTAAAACAATTATTCTGCTCGCCCTCATGGCCTCTGAGTCAGTAGCCCATGCAGCCTTCGGCCTCATGGGCTATTGGCTCACAGCTCACAACTCTTACTTGCTGGATAGTGATTATCCAGTGGATAGTGTTATCTAGCGTTTGACCAACCCGGACCTGGTCAATAAAAAAGACTCCCTGTTAGTAAGAGGTACTAAAACATCAAGATTGGGACCAAGTATAGTGCATGCTAACTTGACATTATCACATACCATTCACACAGCACAAAAGAAAGATAACAAGCCAGAAATGTTCTGTAACACTTTTATGGGTAAATGTGAAGGGTACTGTAAATTTCCGCCTATACAGCCCCCTCCCTCCACACTTATAAGCTCCCCAGTTATGAGTCCACCTACCTGTAAACAAAAAAATACATCCGGTCATAAGCCCCCTCGGATATACGTCCCTCCGTTTTTAAACCCTCCCCCCCCCTTCACTTATAAACCCTCCAGTTATGAGTCTATCTTCCCTTTAAACCAAAAAATACATCCGGTCATGAGCCTTCTCGGATATACGCCCCTCCGTTTATAAGCCCCCCCCTCCCTTATAAATCCCCCAGTTATGGGCCCATCTTTCCTTTAAACAAAAAAATACATCCGATTTTTTTAGCCCCCTGGGATAGACGTCCCTCCTTTTAGAAGCCCCCCTCCTTTTATAAGCCCCCCCAGTTCTTCCCTTTAAGCAAAAAATACATCTGGCTATAAGCCCCCCTGTAGCTTGTGTTAAAATGAATTCGATTTTTTACGATGTTTTGAAGCACCGCTATATAGACTGTTTCGAAACACATTTTTTAGTTCAGTTATACTGTCATGTAGGCTCCCCAGATATGAACCCCCCTCCCCCCTCCCCCCTCCCCTTGTTTATAACCCCTTACAAAGTTGTATAAGCCGAGGGCTTATAATCTGAAGTTGACGGCATGTTGCAGTACTTTTTATTTATTGCTTCCTTATGTAATATTTTTTGTTGTTGTAATCTTACCTATTTTTGTAGGGACCTTCCAAACCTAAGACACATCACATTGCACATGAAATTCTTTCCACCGAGCGAACTTTTGTTGATGCTTTGAAACTCGTGTTTGAGGTATGTGTTTGCGACTTTCAATAAAAGTTGAAGTAGCCAGCAGGCGTTGTGATGTAACTGTAAATTGTGTTCAGTAAGGTGTAGGAAATAATGCAGCGTTCCTCGTTGACTAAACTTCATAATTATTATTTCTTTTTAGGAATGTTATGGTACCATCAAGACCGCTAATGTGGTGGCGGAAACCGTGCTTAGCGACATCTTCAGTGATTTAGAGAACATTTATCTGCTTGATTCAAGATTCCTTCAGGAACTGGAAGAAAGAATGGCAACATGGTAATGAAAAAAGAGAAGAAAATCGTAGTTTAATTTTAAAATCAAGGGCAGTTGCGACTTCATCAATTTTCCGCTTTTTTTCTTAATAGGGAGGAACATGAGAGAATTGGAGACATTATCAAGAAATACGGACACTTCTTGAAGGTATACAATTATATGAATTTTTTTTTCTTTTTACCTAGTTTTCCCTTTGTCTGGGTTTTTTCATTTAACCTCGAGTTCACTCAAGGAACATTGTACTGAGCTGTTTTTTTTTTTCTCTTCGTTGCTGTTGTTCTTGTTGTACTTTTTGCTCTGACGTGGAGTAAAACGTCACCCAAAAGGTTGACGTAGTGTTCTTTTATAACGTAGGAAAGGCATTAACAATTATTGTTATTTCAGTAATCGATCAGTGCAAATCGTTGAAACAACGAAGGATGTCTGATTAACAACTTTGTTCAGTGGTGGTTTGAAAATGTTCAGACGATAACAGCTTATGGAAATAACAGCTTTTGAAATGTTCTTGTAGACAAAAAAAAAAAAACAAATAAAAAAAGGAAACTTGCATTTAACGGTATTGATCAGATAACTTGTTTCCTGATTTCCAGTTGGAACAAGTAGAATTTGAACGCTAACGCAACATTTATATCCAAAAAAAAGAAAGAAAAACAGAACTGTAAAAATTATTGTTCTTTCAGATGTACACCCAGTATGTGAATGGTTATGATAAAGCCATGAGTGTGTTTCAAGAAACAATGAAAGAAAATCCTGAGTTTGCCAAGTTATTCACACAGTTTCAGGTATGATAAATATGATAGGCTTTTTTGTGACCACTTACAGTAGAACAATGTAGCATATTATCGCACTCATTGATAACGGACCTTTTTTCAAATTATCCTTAGTGAATATCCATCGACTCTGCTGGAAAAAGCGCCTTACATCAAGCAAACTTAGCAAGTTTAAAATTGATGCCAAAATGACCAAAAATATAGGCTACAAAGACGCGGAAGTTTACAGACGCTTGTAAGCGCTTTAGATATACATGTATACTCATCTGATACGGAATTTAACGAACAGAAGCACTTTAAGCACCTTTGTATTGTATGTGTACTTAATATAGTTTTATCTTTTGAGTCTGAAGATGAAATCCTGAAGTTTTTCCGTTCAGGTTAAAGCTACTGAGCATTACTTTCCTGTGGTACTGTTTCTTATATATTCTGCACAAAATCATTCTACTTTTTGAGTCTGTGTTTGAATTTTTAAAGTGCGATAGTGTTTAAGTGAACCTATATTCCAGTTGTTTTTCAAATAAAAGATTAACCTAAGCTTATGGCTTTCAGCCATATTTTCAACTGAACTTTGTACAATTCAATTTGAACTCTGTACATTCCAAAACAAGAGATTTGATAAACTTCGATTTAAAGCACAATTGAAGTTGTCCTTTAACTTTAGAACAGTGAAAGATGTCATGGATTAATTCTGTCTTCGTACATGCTGAAACCTGTCCAGCGGATTCCAAGCTACAGGCTTCTTCTAATAGGTGAGTTAGACTTTCGTGGTTTTGTAGCCTTCGTAGCTGACAGTGTTGTAATGCGGGGATGTAGTTTCTTTCTCCCAAACTTCTCGCAGCTCTTCCGCCAAAAATCAAGAGCACTCCTCGGCTAATACCGTCAGTTACGCAGGCTAGTTGTTATGGTAAAATTTAATTGCTAAAAACTCGTTGTTATTTGACCATAAGCCAAGTGTGAATTTCTTAATATTCAAGACACTGCGAGGTAAAATTAGACGCAGAAACGGGTACTTTGTTTTGGTTTAGCCGAGATTTTTATGCCGAAAATCTCTTTGTTTGCGGTGGGATAATGTCAAATGAGAATGGATTTGCCTACAAGCCAAGAAAAATACGTCAGTAAGTCACGTTTCTTAGATTTCAAACCTCTTGCTGCTCATATTCGACTATTCTATCTATCGTTTGTCATCGTTTTATCTCTTTGACTATAAGCACAAAGCAAGTTATACTTTTGCAGAAGGACTTTTTCAGGAATAGTTTCACTGGTGATATTATCGCTGTAGGTCTTTTCAGGTCCAGTATTTATTTTTATGATTTAATTATTCCCTTTGTTATTATTATGTTATTTTTCAGACTACCTTAAGCACTTACCGAAGGATTCAGAGGAATTTAAGGACACAGAAAGTAAGCTGGTGATACCTCCTGCCTTGCTCGTTAATTCCCCTCTTTTTTCTCACATTGCCTTGCTTAAATCTGTGAGAGGTAGCCCTAGATGAGGCAAAATCGAAGTGCCTCTACTCGCTTGGTAGTTCGCCAATTGCAATTGCCACTGTTGCCCTTACATGCTGACTTGGGAATTCACCTCCCATGTAGTCAACATTTTTGAAACCCAAGTACATCACTATAGCCACGCAGAGGAGCACCCTTCGCCGAAGCCCTTATCTGCTATCTCTTAGTCAAGTGTCAGCGTTCGTTAGAATATTCTTTTTTTTTTTTTTGCCGCGAAATTAGTTTTGTTTTTCACTACTGGAATCGCCTCCTTCCCTGTTCTGATTGGCTGAAACGTTTTTGGTCGCAAAAGATTAATCTATAAATAACCTGAAAATCTCACATGCTGTGTCGTAGGATAAATAGAATAAATGAATGTTTTAATTATCGTATCCCTTATGGGGCTTTTCAGGGGTAATAAAACACATAAATAACTTCAAATGGAACATAACAAGGCTAAGGATCCCAACTGGTAGGAGTTGTATCTTTTGACAATTTAACAAGCGTGGCCGAGGATTTGAACTTGGGACTACCGAGAACAAGCGGTCAGGATAGGACTTGAACTTCGGGCCTCCGGATCACAAGTCCGGCGCTGTAACCGCTTAGCCACGCTGTCTCCTTGGCGCTATGTCTTAGACAGATATAGACAGAGGTTCCGTAGAGATGAGAACTAGTCACCTGTATTACTGAAGTCAAACGGAAATTCCCTATTTATCGTCATTAGTTTCCATTAGCGACTGGGTTGGAGTCATGAGAGCGCTTATGGCTCAGTCGGAGTCGTTGTAAGCGGAGCCATAACCTCGACGAAACCGGAGTCACGAGAATTAGAATGTTTCCAATTTCTTTCGATTCTCCTTTTATATTCCGTCACTTATGATATAGCTAAAACCAAATTGTCCGAGTTTGAAGCAGAAGCGGAAGAATAAACCAGTGAAAATGCAAATTCTCAGGGGCCGTGTAACTGATTTAGTATTTTTTCGCTTGGAATTGCTTTCGGTGCGCGTAGCTTTCACCAAATTCACTTTCAGGCTGGTTGTCACAAGGAAAGTGGGATTCTGTTTCCACTAGATCATAACGCCCTGCGCTACTGATTAACAGCTCGTCTCTAGGGAAATCCTGCCTAATAGAGGCACATGGAAGTGATTTTGTTTAGATATATTTCTGAGCTTCTTCTGTATTGTTCACGTTTAACAGCTACACTGAAGATTGTTTCGGAAGTTGCAACACATATAAATGAGTCCATGAAGAAAATGGTATGTACTTGCCTATAACTAGACTGCTACACAGCCGTTTTTAGAGTCGTCACGCAACGCTCCTCCCCACTCTTTGTGGGGAGGAGCTTTGCGTGACGACGCTAGAAAAGGCTGTGTAACAGACTACCCTATAACGAGTGCGAAAACAAATATGGCTGAAAAATAGCAGGGAGTAGCCCCATAAGTGTCAGTCTGCTTTACAAAAGTGTCTCTACCATCCTCTATGATACCAGGGAGGGTAGGTTATGTTCACTCCTGGTTCACTGGTGCCAGGATACCAGCAAAAAATGGTGTGGTGTTCACACCTTGAGTGCCCGATATGAAACTCTATATAGTTGCTCCATTGCGCCTTGTCAGACGCCATTTGAAAAGTTGTGCGTGGTAGGAAGTTATGGATATTCAAAGCTTTGGATGGCCTCGGAACTTACAGATTATGGACGTACACAGGGACCCGGTGACCAGTTTAGTGCCCTGATTCCGGCGTAGGAAGTTGAAAAAAAGGGTGTGTTCACATTAGAAACCATCGGAGACAAGCTTTCTTTGCATTTCGTCTTTGATGATCAATCAGTTATAATGCCCATACTTTCATCTTCCATTTTCTCCCTTTTTTAATAGGATAGTTTTGAGCAGCTGCTAAAACTGCAGAGTATGCTTGTAGGAAATCCAGAGATAGTGAAAGCTGGACGGGTAGGTTCGATTTGGACAACGTAATTTGTGTGTTTAGGTACCTTTAGATTCGAGAACGGGAACACCCCTGAAAACTTCATTGTACTTGTGATTCATCAGAAAAGTTAGCACTGTATGTTTATTGGAGGTTAAGCCTTCTCCCGGTCGCAAAATGATAAAACCTCTAACATATGATCACTTGTTTCCGCCACTACCACATTCTGGCTGAAACTCGTACCCAGTCGTCTCTGGTGAAATCTGGGAAATGCGCGCAAGGCTTCGCGTTTTTCCTTCCTCCTTCCCTTGATGCAACGCGAACTCGCTTAAACCTTCCCACCAATCATCGCGCAAACAAGAGAAGTGGCTGGGTACGAGTCTGATTCTGGCTAAAACCCGTAGTAGAATGACGACGTGAACTACTCGTAAAATAAGACATCTCGTCTTTACCACATTCGACGCACGTATACGAAATGTAAAACGTAAAAATAAAAATGTTCTAGAAGTTTTAAAATCCTCGATATATATTTCGCTCTTCGAGCCTTGTCAGTCAATAAAATGTTTATGTTCAGGTTATTCGAACACATTCCTAGTCTCGGCATTTACAATAGGCTGATTTAGCTACAGAACGAGAACGTCAGTTGACGACGGGAAAGCGCGCGGAAATGACTAAACGCTACTTCCGGTGCCCAATTTGTCGCTCTGCCATTGGTCAAGCCAGTTGTTAGATTTGCGCGCGCCGTCGTCAACTGACGTTCCCGTTCTGTTGTTAAATCAGCCTAATTTCTCAAGAATGACGACGGCTATCACGTTTTCCCGCCAAAATGACGCTGGTTCACGTGTGCGCACTACTTAGTGTTGAGAAAATCGTGTCCGCGTAGTCATCCTTGTCTTAGAAGCTTAAGATCTGTAATATAATACATGCAGCCTAAGCTCAAAGTATGAGGATACTTAACAACTATTCCTCGAGCCCGAATGGGCTCTGAGTCGGCCGAATTGGCTATTGCCTCAGAGCCATGAGGGCGAGAGGAATAATTGTTTTAGTAAAATCCAACTAGTTGGTCAAAAATATCGAGAATAAAAAACTTTTATCTAGTTAAAAGCTTGATTTAACTCCTTTTTTGCCGCCAAAAAGCCCGCGCTTTTCGCTACTAGTGGGCTATGACATATAGCCTAGTAGTAGCTCAACCTATGAGAACGCAGTATTAATAATAGACCACGAACTGGATTTTACTAAATAGAATTAGCCTGTGGTGCATGAATCCACTTCAGTGCAGGACCAGAAAACCACATAAGAGACAAAGAAACATAAAACTAAGGCGAGGCCAGTAGGCTATTTTTATGCAGTGCTCTTTCACATTTTTTAATGTAAATAACCACAATACTCGGAATTCCCCTAGAAATGGTTTTATTGCAAATTTTGCATAATCGTTACACAGAACAGACACATTTTTCAACCTTTGCTGGTTTCGTTTGTAATATTTTCTTATCGCACACGACGATCGCCGTACCTTGTGAATCGGCCTTCAGGCATGTTTTTAGTACTACCGATTCGATTCGACAGTAATACAGCTCACCAGTATTTGTTACTTCAACAGGATTATGTTAAAGAAGGAATGTTGATGAAGTTATGCCGGAAGGACATGCAGGAGAGAATGTTCTTTCTGGTTTGTATAATACCTTTTTCTTTTCTAATACATTAACTGGGCTCCGAACGTAGGGTCTTTTTAATGTGGAATAATTTTGCTGCAAGGTTTTTTAAGGCAGAAGGGCTAATTCTTGCAGCGTCGAGTGATTACCATAACCGAAAATAATCTCTCTCTCTGTCCAAACACAATGAACCAATGAAAACTCAGTCTGCGGGAAGCGCGGGAAAGTGACGTGACCAAGTAGTCACAAAGGATTTTGATTTAATTCTCACAGGTTAAGAAAGTGAGATGCGGTTTTTTAGCTAATCATGAGGCTTTTAGCGAATAACGAAGTAAAAACCGCGATGTCGTATCTAAAAGGTTTGTCGAGGCTGACCAATGTATGTGAGGCCAAGCTAAAACTGACATGCATATACAACCCTAATGTTGCTTCGAGCTTGTTCTCTGCTCTTGAAATCCCTGTTATAATTTTACGTCTCTTGCTTATACTACGCTCACAACTGTGATGGGTGTTTCAAACTTGAAATTCACCATGATTTCTTTCATATTCATCTGTTTTATTATGATTTTTAGCTAACAGATGTGTTGTTATACACTACACCGATGGGAGCAAATCAGTATAAACTCAACAAAATGCTTCCCCTTCTAGGAATGCAGGTACGTGTCTAGTAACAAAATCACCAGAATCAATCCTGACATGTGTCGCTCCTTGTGAGGTGATCCAAGACAATCTTAGAGTCAGGATTCTACGCTTTGGATTCCTTGTTAGCGGAACTTGGATTGCGGACTCCTCGTCAGTGGAACTTGGATTCCGGATTCCGGATTCCAATCGTTAGTTGGATTCCGGATTCCTTGAGCTGATTTCCGGATTCCAAAAACCAGGATTTCGAATTCACAAGCACAAAATTCCCAGATTCCGTTATCTGGATTACCTTACATGGGACGACGACGACAAGTGATTGCCAACATAGTTAGCAGATGAGACCGGTTAAACCTAAGATCAGGCTATATTTTCGTTTCGCTTCATAAATAAAATCTGGCGAGAAAGCCAATTTTAGCGCGACAACGTAAGAGAGAATGTATGGAAGCTGCTAAAATTGGGCCTGATCTTATGTTAAAACTGGTTATAAAAGCCGGCAGACATCAAATTTGAAAACAACGGTGCCGCAGTTTATGTTGGAAGCTCCCTGACTGTGCACAATCCTTTGTTTTTTGTTCACAATTTGTGACTGAATGAAGTAATCAGTGATGTTTCTATTGGTCAGTAAGTTCAAAATGACAGAAATGCTATTGAACGTTGTGCACGGTCAGCAGTGTGCAAAGAAAGTAGTGTCCGATAGCCCGGGGCTAGTGGATTTTGCTATCGGGCTAGTGAATTCTGTTTTTCACTTGCCCGACGGGCAAGTCATGTTTTTTGAGGAATTCAAATAACAGAGGAACTGTGAAATCAATTCTGCTAGTCAAAAAGGTTTTGGGGCTGGTTGAAATGACGTCTGGGCTAGTAAATGCTAGCTTCAGCTTGCATGAATGGCAAGCTGTAAAAATTATTCTCTTTGCACCCTGGTCAGGTCCAAAAAATCTAACAAAAACATATAACAAAGGAGTCTAACGCATTTTATAAGCATTCCACTTTAATACCTGTGTTGCCAAGAAAGAGGAACTGGAATTTATGAAAAGACAGAGAGTCCAGTTACGTGAGAAATTTCATAATAATACAAAGTATTCAAATTAGACAAAGAAAACTGAACTTGCCTGAAAGCTAAACCAAAGATTACAGAAAAATTCTAGAATCCTTAAAGTCAAAAGCAAAAAGGTTGGTTTTCGTTTAACGCAGAGGTTTGATGTTTGACCTTAATGTTTCATTCTGTTAGGTGACCGTTCCAGATTCTCCTGATTTTGTCAATGAATTCAGCATTATTAGTACTACAAGGTCGTTCACTCTCACTGCAAGGTGAGTCTAAAATGCAACATCTTAGTTGAATGTTTGTATATTTAGATGTTAACACCATAACAGTTGGAAGAGCTTGGCTAGTTCTTTATACTCATAATTCAGGTTTTGGGGTATTGCTTTTTTCCACAAACGGGATACAGTACCGGATGGCTGTTTGCGTTGGTATAAGAGTCCTTTTGTCGAAGTATGTAACTGGAACGTGTTTTTTTTTCGTTTTCAGCACTCCAGAGGAGCGGGATGAGTGGGTGGAGGTAAGTATCCTTTTTAGGTTTTTCCCCGCTTACGCTTAGGGACAAAATTTAGTTTGTTGATAAACAAGTAGTAACATGTGAAAGTACTGCTGAAGAGGCTTCATTTGAATGGTCACACCATAGGATTCCGTTGACATGCCGAAAAGCTAGGATAAGTTAATGTGTTCGGAAGGAATTCTAACCTTAAAAGAACTTTTCACTGCCTCACTAGACGGATGTATATATTATCGCGCCTATCTCATCTCGGAAAAAAAGAAAAAAAGGAATAATGAATAGTAAAGAACACTCGTCTTCAGTTTTTTGACGATTCTTCGCTTTTTATTGTTGTTGTTTTTTTATAATTTTTGCTAATATTCCTTAAACTTTGCAGGCTTTGAATAACGCGATAGATGTTGTCACAAAAAGGAAAATAACTTTTGTTGCCAAGACAAGAGACGCAGCCGGACTGGTAAGCATTTATGATTTTGGGAATTATTAATTGTTTTTGGATTCCGATGTACCTTATTGGTTCTTAATTTCGCGTTTTTTGTAATTGTAAAAGAGTCGCGAAATTAGAGACCCGCGAATTTAAATCCTCGCGAAATTTGACACGCGAAATTTAACAGCCGTATAGAAAATTTACTGAAAAAAATTAACATGTAATAAATACCGGGTATGTATCGATCATAAATACACAGATTACTAACTGTTATCCTCGGGGAAAACGTTAAAACATTATAAGAAATTAAAATATGCGGTTTGCTTGTTCCAGTTTTAAAAGCTACTTTTTAAACATTCGTTTTGCTTGTGCCAATTAATCTAGAAATTTAAACAAGTTCAGAGTCATATCGAGAAATAAAATGTGGTTGAAAACGCTTGAGTCGCGAAATTTAATACCCTTTTTTATAGTTGCTTATTTAGAACGCGAAAATAAAATCCCGCGAATTACGGTTTCGCCAAATTGGCGAAATTACAAGGCACCCGCGAAATTAAGTACCAATCAGGCAATCTTTTTTGCCGCCTCGTATACTTTTCCTTACTATATATCTTAAAACTTTTGTTGTTGGTCGTCGTTATACTAAGAAGAAACTTTGCTTGTATTCTCTTTTATTTCCTGATACCTGGTTGTCTTCATCGTTGTTCCTACTGCTTTTGTTCATGTGTTCATTAATTAGCCCTCCTTGTTTCATAATATTTAACTTATTAAAACAATAAAATTATTCTTACCAATTTCCGCTCCCATTTTTGTAAGTAATATAGGAGCTTCTCGTAAGGTCACTGGTGTTTCCTCATTGGTCGCGGAAAACAATAACATCATTGTTCAGATCAAACCAATTGGCTTTTATGGTTAGGAGAGCTGCTACATGGTCCCTTGTGTGAGTGATTGCCTACCCTGTGCCAAAGTAAACGGGTTATACTGTGCATTCCTTATCTGTACATTCATTTTGTTGCTTTGTTTTCTTCTCCCGCTTAGCTGGCGGAACAAGATGGAGAAGGTACCAAGCTCGGTGAGAAGGCTCCTGTGTGGATCCCTGATGCTCGTGTGACGATGTGCATGAGTTGCACATCACCGTTTACTCTCACCAATAGAAGACACCACTGCAGAGCCTGTGGTAATGTAAGTAATACAGATCGTAAGTTAGACTGTAAAACATTCGTTTTGTTTGTTTAGTGGAGGTTGTTGTTTCTTTTCCCGTCAGATCGGTTATACAAGGCGTTAAGCCTCGCTAGCGTGCGTCATGGACGCAGTCTAACCTCGGTTAGTGACGTCTGCAAAGCAGCGACGCTATCCTTGTTCTTGGTACCCAACGGACTCAATGAGTTACTAGAAGTGCTTTTCGAATTTTCGTTCAATTTCGTTCAATCAGTGGCTTTTTTAAGAGGCGTACCATGGCGCACACTCAGGTGGCAGCCCAGAGCAAGGATTTCGGCGCTGGTTCGCAGACGGACTTAACCGGAAGTTTAGTTTCGTCGGTGTCTAGGCTTTCTCTGTCACGTGCTATCCACAGTCTTGTCAAAATAATTAAAACCCTGTGTACAGCCGCCCCGCCTCCACCCCCTTCTCGCCTCAGATTTGTTTGAGGGGAGGGGGCGGCTATTTATTTCCTATTAACAGAAGTGTATCTGTTTCACCACCGCGGTCAAACGTCTAAATCGTTATTTTTGTTTTTTATTGCTGGGATTTCATTTACCAGTTAGAGAAAAATGGGCAAAGATGTATAAATCAGTTAGTCAACATAACTATCTTTCCATTTTTCTCAAAATTTTGAGCTTTTTTCGCTGAAAACGCTCCGCGCTAAAAGAGAATCATGTTTGAAAATGGCGCCGTTAATAACGTCAGCATCGGTTTTCAATCACTTAGAACTTTTTTAGTGAACTTTTAAAAAGTTTAGTAAACTAACAGGATGTTGGTAATACCTTAAACTTTCGATAGTGAAAGTAGCAACCTTAACTTTGAAGTATTTCGCTTAACTTTTGCAAATTTCACTCGTTTGACCGCTGTGAAATCTGTTTCAGGTTGTGTGTGGATCGTGTTCAGAGAGTACCGCACCATTAGCATACCTTAACTACACCGAGGCAAGAGTGTGCGACAAATGTTATGATCTGCTTTTAAAAGGTGGGTTACCATTCTTTGGCGTGAGAAATTTCATTTTCGATGAAATTAGAAATCTTCTTCGTCTAAGTTTAAATAAACATTATAAATACACCATCGAAGCCAACCCTCGCCGAATTTTGTCTTCGTTAACGCTTCTATCTTATGGACGCAACTAACAATGGTTCCAACTCTGATATGTTTAAGACATGGATTAAAAGAAAGGGAAATTCTGTCAAGGTATCGTCACCGTGCGTAACGTGTCAGTAGTTCCTGTTACAAACCTCTTCCATCCACGTCCTCCGTAAAGAAGGAATTTTGAGCAAAGCCTTGAATGACTGACTGATACCTCGACGTCCTTCACGCGTATGTGAAACCGTCGGGCGAAGGCGTTGTCCAAAGCGTTTTGTCTTCCGTTCTCGCAGTCTTGGTCGTTGTAGCTGCTTAGGCCCCCAATATTATTATTCGGTTAAATTGCACGACGTAAACTTGCTGTGTAACGGCTGTTTGGTTCATTTTGTTAACCGTACGCATCCTTTTTCGCTGTGAAAATTAAGAAATACCTTGTTAATGTCTAAATCACCGCTTCGTGTCAAGCAAATGTCTCCCAAGCGTTATACCAAACGTTACAAGCAAAAACCACAATTGCAATCCGTTTCAATCTTGTTTAAGTTTGTCCATCCGTGTCTCCTGTTGTATTCATTGTGTTATTTATACCTTCTTTTCATGTTTTTATCAGTTATTTTTATGTTTCACTCAGTTTGGTGGTGGTCCCCATTGTTTGAATTTTGACAAATTTTGTGTTGTTGGAAAGCAGAATAACGAAAGCGTCTCTCCTTCGCTTACTTACGTCATCCCGTGCTCCTCGTTGTACTTGCAAGGAAAGCCGAGGCGACTGGGGCCGAGTCATGGTTATACTTTATGTATGATGCGTTTTTCTTTGCCCACTACAGAGTTCCACACTCATGAGATACATGCAGATGAAAAGGAAGAAACAACAGCAACGCTACCTCCATTACTTCAAGAAACAGAAGCAGCAGACAAGCTTTTACGAAAGCCCACCAAGTTTGAGATGATGCGGCGGTTTAAGAGCAGAAGAACGAAACGGAAATCGCAGATAATACACCCAACTCACTTAACGGAGGTAACTTTGTTGGCTTGATTGTAACAGATAGTAGGGTGTAATGCGCAGTACGCCCTGTGCAGACGGACACAACATTGTTGGCCAACAACTCCTAACATGGTTGGCCCAACAATGTTGCGTCCGTTTGCAGGTGTCTAAAAGTTTGACCGGTTTCAAACTTTGCGCAACAACTCTCAACAACACGCAACAACAAGCAACAGTGTGAGCAAACGGACGCAATTTGTACTATCCAACAATGTTGGGAGTTGTTGGCCAATAATATTACGTCCGTTTGCAGGGGGCTTTACGCGAGCGGTGAGCGGTGAAGACGTGACAAACCAGACCCTCATTTGTCATTGTCAAAGTCTTACCGAAATGAATTGCTTTTCTATAGCGTTGAAGTTAGCCTTCTCTCCTCTCTCCGGAAGTCAATACATTGTATGAAGACGTGTCTTGCAAAGCTAAGTTTTCAGTCTGCAAATGAAAAGATATGGCGCGACTATTCGAAAGAATCCTTTTTGCCAGATCTTCTGCACGTCACCGCTTGCTGGGACTTTTTTCTCTGACCAAAGGTCACTTTTTTATCTTCAGGTTGTAGCTAATCAAGAAGGCATTGAAATGAGTGGATATTTAAGGTTCAAGAAAGGAAGGCATGGTTGGAAAAAGTCCTGGTTTGTTCTTAAAAACAATGTGCTGTACTCGTACAAGGCCAGCTCGGTAGGTAATATGGTTTATGACTACAATTTCTTCCTAATCTGCCAATACAGCGGTCTCATCCTCACTCCTGGCTCCCCGCCGCCGAAGACGCTTCGCGGGAGACCTTCTCCTTCACGTCCCGTGGGGTAACTAAGGAGTGAGAAGGGACGGCTGCGTTATATGACATATTTTGAGAAATATATTTCTGTGGTGAAAGAACGAAAGATGGTAAATTTTAAGCTCGGTGAACAAATGTAAAGATGAAATAATCAGCATGTCACGAGCGTGGGACAAAGAAAAAATTTGAGTCCCCGACAGGATTCGAACCTATAACCTTCCAAACACCGGGCGGGCGCTCTATTCACTGAGCTACGGAGAACTCATAGAGAGCGAGGCCATATACTAGGTCCATATTTGACACTATTTTTTATTTATGCTTATTTATATTTTACATTTTTTAATTTATACGTCAGTTCTTGTAGAATCCTCAAAGGTATTCGGTAATTCGGCTTTAAACGATTGTAGCACGCGTTTAATTGTCGTGAAATAGACTTTCTGGCCGCAGAAATAGAGAGTTACCTTTTAAGTTTGCTGTAGAAAAACAGAAGCGTAATGAGAGGAAGGTCGAAGGTACCCTGGCCTCATCAAAGGCCACGACGACGTTACTTAGCTGTTTAATAATCTTATTACTGTAGGACGTGGTGGCACTCGAAACCTTGCCAGTACTTGGGTATCAAATTCAGGATCTTGGAAAGGTATGTTTTTTTTTCCTATAACTTTGCAACTTTCGGACCTCAGTGAGTTGTACTCTTGAGCCTGCAATACAGCCTGATGGCACTGGGCAGCGGATACCCTTTTTGACAACTGTCAATTGGCCATGAAATGGATGTCCATCAGGTTGTCCACACTTAGCCAGAAATACCCGGTCATTACTAGAAAACAGCCAATCACAGCCTGCGTACTATTGTAGCCATACAATAAAGTGGCATATCGGGAATTTCTTAGGGGTTAGGGAAAGAAACAGACGTTGAGGGACAGCTTGCTTCTCCTCTCCCCCCTTTTCGGTCTCCCTCACCCCCCTTCACCTTAGAGAAGCCGAGTGCTCGGGCTGCACCACAGTTTATATGAAGGAAATGATAGCGGGCAATTTTCACGATATTTCTTCATAGGAAGGGGATGACTTTGTGTTCCACTTAAAACATAAAGGTGTACCACCGATTGTATTCAAAGCAGACAACGAAACTTCAGCAAAAAGGTAATTATTAAACTAACAATAACCAAAGGTTACGGAGTGCGGGCGACAACGGTCGAAGGTCAAAACGCTTTTGCTCCGACGATGTGCTTTGCGTAAGTTTCACGTGACAGATGGTCAAAACACGTGATCAAATTACGAGTGAAAGAAGGTCCAAACGCGCGTGATGAAATTGCGTTTTCTGCATGCCATTTATTCTTAGTGGAAGTCCAACATGCGACGCATGCGTAGTAACAACTTAGAGATTAGGACTGCGGGCTCCTCTTGTCGCCCGCAATTAACCTTTAGCTGTTAAATTGTTTTGTAACAAAAAAAGGCTAGATAGGTTTTTCCGAACTGTACACGCTGTTGGCATTCAGTATATTCCCATGATTACCACCTTTTTAAACTACTTTTTTTTCATCAAGTTAAATTTTGGATTTTTTCTTGTAGTTGGTTTTGTACTTCGTGTAAAGGAAAGTAAAGTAAGCCTGTATGTCTGTGCCGCTTTCAATGCCTTTAAACCACGTAATAATTCAAACGCAGTTCCTAGGCTGTTCCATAGAACAGAATATTTATAAATTCCTTCTTGTCTTAGGTGGGTGAAAGAGTTGACGAAAGCAACCACAATGTAAGGTAATATCCTTGTGAAGTCACGCGGTGACGAAGTGCTGTCGTGACGCTCGGTCAGTCACGCGAACAATGTCACGGACTTCTTATCCTAAGAAAACTATAATTTTAAATGTCAGAAATCATTTTGAAATTACAAGATATTTTTATCAGACAAAAATTATCGAGATACTTATATCATTTTAATAAGAATGCTTGTAAGGTAACTTGTATAGTTAATTTTAGTTACAAATGGCAGTATTTGTCCGGTCGGCGGGCGGGGACCGTGTTCGGCATTAATTTGTTTGTCAATCATCCAATCAAAAATCAGCTCGAGGATTAGCGAGTTTTCTCGAACCTTTCGGCCGGTTAAGAATAAGTTTTCTTCCCTGAAGCAAAACTTCTGTCGAAAAGAATGGCCTACATATTCAACATATAAGCTGTAGTGGAAAATATATGTGAATGTTCGCTGTAGTCTTGGCCTGCGAACGCAGACGTGTTTCCGGCGGTACGAAAACACGACGGTGACGGCAACGGGAACGTCAAAAATGCAACATCCGGTAGGTTTAATGAACAAAACAATAACTCGGCACGTGCATCACGCTTTTTTGTACATTTCGTTGCCGTCCCTGCACAACTACGACGTGAAATGACCAAAGTTTAAGTTTACTTGAGAACGGGAACGGCAAGCCGCGAAATTCTACCATCTCTGTCTGAAGTCGGGCGCCTTCCCCTCTCTTCATCTTCAACCTAAATTCCCTTCTTTTTAAGTAGCTGGGCGACTTGGGATAATCGCGAAAAAAAGTGAAAGGATGCGAAGTCCATTTTTCATGGACGTTTTCATGGACGTCGTCGTTGTCGGATCGTAAGGTCCCTAGTAACGGAGAGAAGCGACCGCCGAAAATACGTCTCTCTTTAAAAGCAATTCTAATCTCTTTCATCCTAAAATACTTTCTGTGGTTTCCGCCAACTACTGAAGGCTAAAGTTTTTGTGCGCTCGGTTTTTAGTTAATTCGCTAATACAAATTGTCACTCTATTGAGGGTTAAATCCCTGTTGCGTATGTAAAATTTTATATTTTGGCGGTTCATTTCATTACCTAGTGTGAACATGCATACCTTCTACACTGTTTCCCTTACAACTGTTCCTGGAAGGATAAGGAGAGGTTATTAAGGTCAAGACATAATTTATCTTGGTGTTCATTTCTGTCCATTCTTTTGTCTATTTCATCCCAATAGTGACCAACATCAATTTTCTCCTAACGATATCCATACAATGCCAAGAGATTAGGTTATGAGAATTAGTTAAATGATCACCTAAGAGAAAATGCTCTGATCTTTTATCAAATTCTCTCAACTTATTCTTTAAAGAAATGTGTAGAGATCAGTTTGGACAATTTGCTTGTGGATATTGGGGCTTAAAGGGTTAAGCAGTGATTTTATAAGAAGAAATATAAGATGCTGGTCATTGTTATATCATTTGTTATAGTATAATTTTTCCGGCTGTCTTTTATATATACACTCATTTCACAGTTAGGCTAAGGAAACGGGCAACAAAAACGTGCGACTTGTTTTGCAACATTGCTGTAAACGAGTTGAAGAGCGACGTTACGATGTTAACCACTCAGGAATCAAACCTGTCTTACAACAAATCAGCTTGTTGCAAATTGCGTGAATACTGACTTATGATGGGATAAAATTAAGCGGGAGTCACGCCATACACGAGTATTACGTCACTTTCTGCAAGACAAGTCTTCCTTGGGCCGGTAAAACGCGCAAAAAAAAAGTAGAACTACTCTGGACTTTCTGCAACACATTTGTGCAACCTGCAAGAACCCGATTTGTTGCAAGACAGGTTTGACTTTTGATTCGTTTTGCAGCAATGTTGTAAAACAAGTTGCACGCTTTTGTTGCCCGTTTGACCGTAACTTTAGTTGGGCCAACCTTGTACCCAGGGTCTCTCTTCTTTCAAGGGACGGGAAGAACGGAGAAACCCTGGAACGAGATTGCAGAAATTATATCCACATCGAGCCACGCGCGGATTATATTTTAAATCTTAAATATTGCTATTTCGTTATTGTATATATGTTTTGCATATCATAGAAAGAAGTTATATATTAATCATAAAGAATTTTATCATTATTGCGCCGTTATATACGGTAATTTACGATTGTTTTTTGGACTGGCAAACTTTTCTAGAATAGTGGTTTTATTATTTAGCTAATAACTAAATATGAGTAGATATTTCAAATTTTATTTGATACAAAATCATAGAGGATTAATAAACATGCAAGAAAATCGAGAGTAAATTTTATGAAGCAGGAAGCGCAAAAGCCAGTTTCCCATTTTCCATAATGCACCTTATTTTCCCCCCAAATTTTGCCTAACTTTTGTTTTTCGTTTCTCTTGGGTATTACTTCCGTCCCAAGAGAAATTGAAATGCAAAATTTGGGGGGGGGGAGGGGTGGCTGGCAAATAAGGTACATGATGGGAGACATGAGGGGCGGTATACAACAATATCCATACTACAGGCTCTACAGCTTGTTGCAATCATATCTGTATCAGAAGGGACTGGCAACGAGTGCGTGCCACAGGTTTAAGGTATTCTTTGTTTCCGACTGGCTTCATTACAGAACCGTACTGATTAAAATATATTAAAAGTGCTCCACAAAAATATTGAACTAAGTGTTTTGTTTGTTATTTCGAGGTTCTAACAAGTGGTACAAAATAGCGAGAGGTTAACAAAAAAAAAATAGAATTAATGCATAATAGTGCGTAGAATTCTAGTACCTATCTCACGGTTGAAGTAAAATCACTTTGAGTTGGTAAAATCGGTTTCCAAAGTAATCGACCAAAGACTGAAGACGTCAAAAGAGAGCACAATAATCGCATTTACAAACTGACTAATTCATAAGCGTTAAGCCTACTCCACAACACAAGCAAAGATAAACCTGAAGCTGTGCCAATAATTTTTCCGACCAACACAAGGTGTAATTTTTCTGCTCTCAAACCGAGCCCTTCGTTAAACAAAGCATTTTAGTTTCCATATAATTGACCTTATTAGGATGACTATTACTGCCCAAACAATGTATACTATTACAAACTCTTTGCTTAACAATATATTGTCGTTCCTTACTCTCCAGGGATAAGCAAACCCCGACATTTCTTCCGGCAAAGTGTATTTTTCCTCATGCGAGTCGTAAGCGTTCGAGACGGTTATTGCGAATAAAGATTGATCGTACAAGTGACAGCCGCCGAATTTGTCCGGAGGGAAGTTATCACAATGGCGGGCAGGTCCCGAGGGAGCGATGCAGTGTTCTATAAGGCTACAAGCGAGAACCCATTTCATAATATTATCACGCACCAGTCTTGTATTGTATATTAGTATTGCCCCGGCTTGTGGCATATATTTGCTCATTTCGTTGGTTCCCTTCATCGGCAAGAACTCTAGCATACGTGGATCTGTCCCTGATAAAATAGTGTGGCCAGCTCGTTTGAAATAATACAGAAAACTGGAATTCTTCTCGACCATATATTGGACAATTTTATCGTAGCTGTCTTGAAACACTACCGAAGTATCCATCCATAGAACTCCGCCAAATTCAGAGAGAATTCTTTGAATGATTAGCGGTTTCCACGAGTAGTTATATAAATTTAAAACAAATGTTGGAAAAACGGAGAAGTCAAAGACTCTGTAAGCTACATTTGGAATGTTTCGTAGTTCTTCAACCTCGTGTCTCTTGAGTCCTAAATCGTAAACTATGATTTTGATGTTTTCGGGCAAAAATTTCTCCATGACATCTATCCGAGCCATTAGTTCTATAAAGTGGTTACTTGAAATAGCAGTAACCGGCGGTAGGTGTCTCATATATGATGCTTCAGAGATGGCATTCACCGTTGCGCCAGCTTCAAGTTCATAAGATAATCGTTTAAAAAGTTCGAGTATGTTTTCATCAACACGGAATTCCTTTTGCCCTTTTATTGAGGAATTGAATGGGTGCTCGTACCTTCCAATCGTTTTTGACATATGTATCGTATTTTGAGATCGTTTTGCTTGTAAGTACTCCTTGTAAACGGTTGCTCCAATAATAAACAGTAAAATCACAAAAAACGTGGAATATGGTTCTAATAGCTTCATGTTCAAGTTTCCGCGTTGTTGATTAAGGGTGAATCACGTCAGATCAAGAAAACGCTGCGTTTTTGTGGCCAAATTTACGTCAATTATGTGTGCAACATTTATCCGCTTCATTGAGGACGAAAACTAATTTCCAAGACTCCTATCGTCAGACATTTCATTTAACATCATTCACACCCCATCATACTTTCTCAGTTTTTGTAATGGAACGATTAAAAATCTCTTCCAGACATTCTCCAAGCGTGCCGTGCCTCACGAGTGCGCTAGGCAAGGGAATGCATAATTCATTAGGACTCGAAACGCTCGGTTCGAAACCTGTTGAATGCGTGGCAATTATCCCAGTTTCTTTTGCAAGTAGACCCACGTAAACATCGTCTATTCTGAAGACTGGTATCAGGTCTAGAACCTCGACGAACAGAGTTACTACGTCGTGAGATAAAACAAACCCAAATCCTGAGCAAAAATCAGGGTAGTAATAATCCTCGTATTGTTCGTATGTAACAGACCATTTCCCCCCCTCATGTCTCAAAGGTTTCAGTTTGTGCATAAGGTTGCCTGTGTAGAGGCCTTTGCTGGGCGTTGTAGGCCTATTGAAATACGCCACCAGTCGCAAGGGGTTAACAAAACAATCGTCGTCCACTTTTAAAAGAAAAGAAAATTCGCAGTAGTTGACTGCCCATTCGAACCCTGTTTGTATCTTAAACGTTAAATTATCGTAGTGATCATTGTAATCTCCACGCACTAGGTCCTCGAAGTCTTTTTCCTCCTTCAGCAATAACTGCGACAGGGCTTTTAGTTTAGTTTGTCCCACAATGAACACGGTTTTCCAACGACGTTGATTGAGCTCATCGAAAGCCCATGTTTTTCGTATGTTTTCTCTTCGATCCAAATGAGCTGGCGCGGAACTGACAAGAACAAGGAGATGGTAATATTGATCGCAAGTTCTGTTTGTAACAAGCGCTGTTTTACGTTCGTATGTCTTCCATAAAAACAAAGGAACTCTTTCCACCTTTACTGATACACGTGTCTCGTTGAAATTCCATGATGATTTTAAACTCCAATGAGAGGTCTGTAAGCGCATGATATAGAACAAAACAAGAAAAATGGTGCAAATTGTACTTGAACAACATATCAGCACCTTTCTGATCTGGCGCCTCATATTTAATACAATTAAGAGACTTAACCTTTTCAGCTAAATTCCTGACTTTGCATTTGTTGTGGTTAGACGCCTTCATTTGAAACACTGTTCAGTGTAAGTAATTCAAGTCTGTCGAAGTTATAGTTCGAAACTGTAGTTCGCATTTGTTCGACGACGTAAATTTTTTGCGACATTCGTTTTGTCGTGACGGGCATTTTCCATGGGAACGGAAATAGATATATCTTTCGAAATCTGTCGGTTGATGTGCTTGTTTAAGTGCCTTTGCGAGCAGAAATTTGCATTGCGGGACAATGGGCTCTTGTTGTTAGAGAGAAGTGTAATTATGCACATAAAACTGGCACAGTGTCCTGAATGTTATAAATTAGAGTCAACGTTCCTCTAGACCAGCAGTCGGGTACGGAAGACAGCTTCACCAAACTAGTGTTTATTGAAAACCAATCTAAATCTCTATTCCGGCTGCAATCGAAAATTGTATTTTTCCTGCCCTTTTGCAGCGAAAACAAGGCAGTTCTGCGTCTAAACGATCCAGCCCAGTTCCTTGGGTTTCGGGGCTCCGTCAAACCTGGGCCCCACTGTAAATGTGACGTCACAGCGAAACTCGGCCACTCTGTTGTACGTCCTTCCCAGACTTCGTGCGTCAACGGGGCAAGTAGAGAACGCCAAAGGACCTTAGGACCAGGCTGTAAATGGTCGATCCTTTCACACAAGTATCCCTGTTGCGTGTGAGCTCGTCTTTTTTTAGATTTCCCACCTAGCGAAATTCGCCCCTACTTGTAGCCGAATGACGTTATCGTGAAAATGCCTTATCCGCAGACCAGACTGTGCTGTTGTCCTTCCCATGAGGCACTGCGCATGCTAAATTTGGGCAAAGGAGGAGCCTGGGACGAGGTTGTAGAGTAGAGGTTGCTTTAGTGCAAAAGCCTGCTAGTGAAACCCTTTTCTGTTTTCCAGCTATAATTGCTCTCTGCTCTGTCTCTTTCTACATTGTTTTCTTTCTTCCACCGGTGTTGCCTCTGATTTCTGCAAGGTTTTCACTGAGGATTATACAAGCTGTTACTGTCTTGTTAGCCAACGTAGCAAGCGTTTCCGTGTGGTTTCGCAGAAAAGAAAGAACAAGCAACGACATGGAACAGGATTTTCAGTTTTGGCTGCACGAAGAATGGAACGACAGCCAAAAAATGAAAGGGAGGAGGTGGAGAGGAAGGAAGGCCCCCTTCCCGCTCTTTTACTCGCCCCATTTTTTCGCGTGCTCTTTGACTCTCGTTCCTCGTTCTTTGCTACGAAACCGCACGGAAACGCTCGCTACGCAGGCTACTTGCTTGTGTATAGCTGAATGTCCTGCAGCGGTTTCAAATGCCTGTGATGGTCACTGATTCTAATTGTGCTAGATAGATAGATAGATAATCTTTATTTATCCACGGTACAAAATTCGTCAGCTTTAAAAATGCCTAATACTAATATAATAAAAATGCTGCATTAAACAAGTAATCAAACTGCCACTTTCGCTCTCTCTTTAATTGCTCTTTTTGCTAAGTATAACTTCGAATTTCCAAAAATGTTCACTAATTCGAGACATTAAATATTCAATCATTTTGCAATAAATACAATAACGTAATTCAATAAATATCTCAAACTTTCTCAAATATATGTTACCTGTATCATGATTCATCGCCAGCATCTTTTATATAATCAAAGCCGAAAGAAATTCAAACTGGGTAGCGTGGTAGGCGCTTGAGTGGGTAGACTGTTCACACATCCCTAAGTATCTCCTAAGTAGATTTGACACTCATCCAAGATGGGCGCCCGGGACGCAAAGTGCTCGATCTCGATGATCTTACGGAAAAATAGGGGACTGTGAACAGCCTATTGAAAGGGTTAATAAACCTCGATTTCTTGACATGCTTTCCTCGCGATAATCATTCATTGTCCTATTGCTGTTTCTGACGTGTCGTACGCTAAATAAAGTTCATAATTTTCAAAATTTCAATGATTTAGTGATGGACTGAGCTTCATCATTGTGTATCGACTTATGAATCGAAAATAGCCTATCAGGGCGTGGCGGAACATGCCCGGGGGAGGGAGGCACATCAAAATCAATCATCAAACTTCCAATTAACTCCCCACCTATCCCTCCACGGATGTAAGGTTTCTCCGAACCTGCACCTGGCGGAACGAATTCCTTTGCTGCGGTATTTTTGTCAATAATAAAACTGTTCGGTAAGACACTTATTGTCTGTTTTGGTATTTCATCAACGCTGTCTGGATTAGACTTTCTACAAAGTTCTGTTCTTGGCTGACTTGCATTTAGATCATTAGAATTATCATCATTATTTTCAGAGAGACCACCATTCCTTCCTTCCATAGCGCGTTCAACCTCGTTCCTGAAGCTTTCTGAGTCAGGTGCCTTAGCTTTTGACTGGGCAGCAAATTTCCATTCTTCACTAGTAATATCTTGGCTGATATTGACCTGATCATCTTCCGTCATCACAGTTTTAGACTTGTTTAATGCTGCCTCATCCAACTGTGTACGTTGTTCTTGGCTATCCCCATCGTTGTCACGACGTTCTTGGGAGTTGTCACGCAACAGAGGGAGTGGCACTGAGTCACACGTGTTGCTTGACTCAAGGTATCCCGGAGTCGTGTCACGAAAAATAGGACTTTTTTCAGTCACACCGTCCCGGAGCTTGCTGCTGTCAATTTGATCACCCTTCATCATAGCCAGATTATTCGTTGACCTCACCGGCATACTGCTGCAAACACCTGGCAATTCTGTACAATCTCTACTGCATACAGACTCTGTTGTTTGTCGTAACTGTGTGGATGCCTTCTCCTCTAAAATTACGTTGGTTGCTTTGGCTTTACGTCTTTTTCGAACTGGTGCAATGTTCTCATCCTCGTCAATTCCAAGTTCTTTGCACTGTTCAAGAACTGTAAATTGAAAAGAAAGGATATTTGTATGATTATGATTATGTTTATTCTTCATAGGAAAATACTATTACCAAAAAAATGTGGCACAGGGTACCCACTACTTAACTATATACCGCACGAAAGAGCACAGCCCAATGGCAGCTGTAAACAGTTGTTTGTCCTCATCTTTGGTTCAGGATTGGGAAGAACCTTAGATTACGAAATGCATTCTACTTGGTGTTGATGGAATAGAAATATTAACTATCTGAATATTATGGCTATTTCCTCTAGCATCCCCAAATTTTCTAAACAACGTAACAGAAATCAACACTGTAGGGATACCTAAAACTTAACCTGGGACGTTACGGCCAGTAAACGTTCGCAAAACGACACTGACTCTATCCCCAGCTAAAGATAAGTGTGCATCGACTCGTTTAAAAATTCGTTCCAAGGTGATAGTGGCACATGATCAAAGCTGCCTCTGCAAATGTTTTTTGGGGGAGGCCACCTGGCATCGATATTCAACATTGAAGTTAAGACAGTATCAGGTTGCGTTCTCTTTTGGTCGAACGCAACTAACGTGAAACTTTATACCATTAAAAAATGTTACCGGATTCTGTGGAATCTGTACCAAAGAATCCGACACGACAGAAAGTCTTGGCATACAGGACCGGAAGTTTAAGTCCAATCTCGTTTCTGAGGTTTTAAGTCTTTTGGTCCCCTGGGAACGAGGTTAGTTGGAGTTCTTGAGTCCTTCTTTGCTATCCTCGGGTTCTAAACCTCAATTCGAATCAGAAGATCGAAGATCTCAAAATCCCCAGAGACATTCCTCGTTTTCTCGCCAGTTTTCTCATTTGGAAAATCACTTACCTCTCTCGTCAGGGACTTGTTTAGTGACGTGCAACAGTTTTATTGGCCCTTCTGTCTTTTCGCGTTTTTTCTTTTCCTCGGCGTCGTGACAAGCAGCTTGTTCATGAAAGCGTTCTTCGCCTGATTCATCTCGGTTGCAAGAGTCGCACTGATGAAGGCGAGTGAGTCCCTTGAGTCTGTTGAATATCAAAAAATGGCGCTCTTGCATGAATCTACAAATCTGGTTGACGTTTGAGGCTATGTTAGCTGTTTTTTAGTATATGGGAAAGCAAAAAGGGAAAAAGAAAAAGTGCGGAGAAACTCCACGGTCGCTTTTGCATTCCCTAATCCTAGCAGAACGCATGAAACACCTAATAAATTGCTCCACTAGCCGCCGGTCCCTCTGCAGTTCATCGCCAGAGCGACACCTAGTATAGTGGGTTAAGTTTGATTGCTATTTGAGACGCAGATTGTTCTTTCTTCTCATCCCTTGTCACACGATGAACATGTTTTTGTGCGAATCATTGGCCTCAGGTTTGTTAGTCAGATGACTTTTCGAACTACCGACGTAAAATATGGAAATACCAAGACTTTCTGTCGTATCTGATTTGAATAAGAAGATTTTCTTCCGTACGGATTCCACAGAATTAAAATGGTATAAGGTTTCACGTTAATTGCCTTCGACCACAAGAGAACTTAACCTGATACTGTCTTAACTTCAAAAAGTAAAATAATTACTTTACATCAAGAGACACCCTCAAGCGATACATTTAAAAAAGGCAAGTTTGGCTTGTTCCCCCAGGAATTGCTAAGGCTTTTAACCCAGGTCATTTGCCAGGGTACTGTACCTTTCAAAGGCGTCCTCCAATGTTTCCAGTCCCGCTGGTGGTACATTGGGATAAACATGGTAGGGTTTAAGATAACCTACTAGATCCTGGATCTGGGAAAAATACACACTTGGAATTATTACAAGAAAAATGTTATATACATTACAAATTTACAATGGGATAACAGGGAATAGTAATTAATTATTTGGAGCCTAGAGGCTAAAGGAACAGTGAGGTTTTCGAGTTAGCCCCTAATACAATTCGTTTAGTAAAATCAAAAAAGAGAGAGAGACAAGGGGAGAAGAACTAACAGCATAATTAAGTTCTAGTTAATAACGAAATTTCTATTCAGGTTACTTTCGTGTATTGATCTTACAGCAACATGATAACGTTTTCTTTCTTTGGAAAAGGAAAATGAGGTCTTTCAGGTGCTGAGAAATATCGCGCAAGAGATCTATTGCATGATACGAAAACATTTGTTTGCCCATGTTGGTTCATGTTTATTAGTTCTGATAAAACAAAGGACGGAGAAAAAAAATAGGCAGGTACAAAAGCGCATGTATACCTCTTCCATTGAAGCATGCATCGAATGAACTACCCTCCACAGTCTTTTGCCCTCGTCATATCTGTAAGGACAAAGCAATTACTCTTCAAACATAGAAGTTGCAGCAGGGTGGAGGGTATTAAAGACAGTTTAAGTGTATATGTTGTGGTTCAATTTTATCCTTGGTTTAAATTTTATTTTCCTTCGTTTTAGACTCATTAGCATACATTACCACACCCCAAAACAAAGGAAAATAAAATTTGAACCAAGGATAAAATTGAACCACGACATATACGTACGGGTAACTAAAATTCTGACCCGTACCGATAGCCGTAAATAAAGGTAGATTACTTGTTTCCCAGAAGAAACGACAACACCAGGTAAAGTGATCATCCAAATACTACATTTAATGGGTAAACATTCTCCGCTTTTAATATAAATACTTAGGAAACATGTTCCCATATTGGTACCCACAGGCTGACGCGAGCGGTGTATCTTAAGGTCCCTGATTACTGGCAATTCTAAATTTGCAAGCGTAAGCCATCGCTAACTTCCTTGGCCAATTGTAGGTTGCACGGGAAACTGGGTCAAGTTTGCAATGCTCTGCGTACTATTTTCAATTTCACCTTCTGAAGTCAGCTGGCATCGGTCCTTTGTCACGTGCAATCCACATAGTTGTTGGCTTTATTCGTAGCACTTTCATCTTGAGGGAAGGCTGTGTTGTTACTCCACAGGGGAGATCTGATTCACAGTGTCGCTTAGACTACAAAAATTAAATTACGCAACATGTGTTATTCCATACGCTATTGGGCATGATTAAACTAAATGAAATACACATACATGATACAAAAAAGTGATGTAAAAGAAACAACGAAAAGAAAAAGGGAGAAGCCCGAACGGGACACTTGGACCCAGGAGAGGTGCCCTCCCAAGAGATATCTCGGGGTAGGGGGAAGGGAAAAAAAACGTCAACACTTTGATTTGACATGTGTACTGACCAATAACAATTCATTTCTTGGAAAGCGAGCAAACCTCAAAGCTGTTCGCCGTTTTGATTTCTCACGCTTAACTGGCCTTTTCCTCGCTACACAATAAAATGCCATAAATATTTTTGCCTTACACGAAAAACACACAGAGATGACATGTAGCGAGAGCATGATCGCACGTTACGTGTGAACGTGACCAGAACCTAACTTTCATGACATACTGATAAACATGTGTATAACTATTAACAGAAACTGCCAACCTTCCAACTGCAGGCGTGAATCCTAGTGGATCGGCCTTCAGTGGTGAAGTAAGGTGTCATGTCTGGAAGATACCTGTACATGGCCAGTCTTTCAGCACTTACATGGATCTAGCGATAATAGAAATCCGTCAAGTTGTTATCCCAGCGAGCACATCCGCAAAACCACGAGGTGTGTATTACCCGCGTCACCTCATTCGCCTCTCGCGGATATGTTACGCGCGCTACTTCGGTAACCATTGGGACAACCAGAAGGAGTCTGCTAACAGTCTAAAGGAAACTGGACCGAGTTGACTCCTGCAAAGACTCCTGGGACTGTCAAGAGGGCCAGAGAAAAAAATTGGCCGATAGCTGACCGGTGCGTCACCCGTAACGATCCCAGAAACCCTTGCGGGACGCATTTCGGCTCCAGTTCCTGTGGCGAGAACACGCTTAATCAATTTGCGCTGACAAAGAACGAGCCCTCGACGAATCAGCTTAAGAATCCCTTACAGGCGGCCAATTTGCCTTAAGGACGCCGTTGACACCTTCAAGCAAAAAAGTGTCTGTGTTCGTAATTTTTTTTCCATACTAGCCAAGCAACAAGTGGGACTTAAAGAAGCTAGAAGCTCTGTAAGAAACTAACCTTCATTTTATACTTCATGGCTATCTCTTTGAGTAGATACTCATATCCGTACATTCCTTTGCAAAGTAAGCTCACGACATGTTGTGGACCACGTGAAAACCACCTATAAAGAGGTTTACAGGTATATTTGACAAACTCCCCAGGTACAGAGCCAGACTTGTACTCTGTCGCTTCGATACAAGTTTATTCGGTCGAGGTGTAGATAGTTCCATGCGCTAAGCTTAAAGAACGCATAATATTCACCCAAAATGGTTTTCTTGTTCACGCGCAAACTATTCTTGAAGTAATCGTATTTTTTGTGCAGTTTACTTCAATTTCACTGCTTGAGTTTGTACCGAAAAGACTTTGATTTTTTGTGCGGGAGAATCGTCCGGGAACACATCGGAAGGGATGCGGGGAAAATCAGTGACGTCATGTCCCATCCCATGTCCCCTTGAGCACCTCAATCTACCACCAATCTGGAAATTACATAAATAGCTACTTCACTTGGTACTAGTCGTGTACAGTAGCATAGTAGTAAGGAAGGGACCGAAATAATCCTCTTTTTCGGTGCATGCTCTTTAGTATGAAGTACAAAATGTGCACCAATTCTGTATACATATTTTTTCAACAACCAAAATATTTTTATTCCTAAGGGTGGATTTCCACTGTCGCGTAATTTTTACGTGCGTGTACACGCACCTAAATTTTTCTCGCGTAAATAAGATATAAAGTGTTGAACTTAAATTTGAAATCGAGCGAGGTTCAACTTATTAAAATCAGAGGTGGGCAATGTTCTTTTTGGCTTGATTTGAAAGTCATGATTAAAAATACAAATAAATATAGGTTTGAGCCAAAACAATCATGGTCTTAACTCTGCTTAAATTCGGCAAGTAAAGTTTAGGCGCCGTTTACTTTATTCCCTGGCTCAAAAGTTAAATATCCTTTCCGAAATAACTGTATTCAGGACCCTACAAGATGGAGAACTAAACGCTCAGTGCCTGCGATATGGTCGCCGTCACCTCGTCACCAAGAATAGAACTTAGCTGTACTGTTTCAAAAAGTCCCAAGTATACACAACTCTTTCAAGAACATAAATTTTTTCTTAACCCTTTCTTGATCATGTTTCTGAGAAACTGCAACGCAATTCTAGGTATTTAACTGTGTCAATCATTTCAGTCATTCGCTGGTAGCGAGTCGTCCGTTCTTGGTGGCGATTTGGTTAGTAGCGAAATGTCTGTAAACAGTGCCAGCTCACTCACCTATCTATCAGTTCAATGATAGCATCTCGGCTTTGTTCCTAGAGACACACAAAAAAAGAAAATAAACTTTATAAATTGTCACCTGTGATCAGCTTAGGAATTTCAAAGCCCCGTTCAGTTAAATGTGTGTGATAAAGCAAACACACATACAAACCCGACTGGGAAGTGACTTCATCTTTGGCAGGCAAAATGTTGTGTCAATGTAGATGCTCTTGATATCCTTTATGCTGAAATCGAAAGTAAACATCAAAGTTCAATAAATTGTTTCAGGCATGTTTATAAGAAAAACAATGTTCTACAATAACATTTTTATCATCCCGAAACATATTTTGTGAAATAACCGAGGGGGCAAAAATTAGGGTAATATGTCACCACTCGAACGGTCATTCACGTCGGATTCAATTCTGTGCAGGGTGCAAAGAAAGTCAGTTTTACAGCCTGCCATTCGTGCAAGCTGTAGCTAGCATGTACTAGCCCACAAGTCAAGTCAACTAGCCCCAAAACCCTTTTTGATTAGCAGGATTGATTACCATCCTTCTGTAATTTGAATTTCCCCAAAAAATTCACTTGCCCGTCGGGCAAGTTAAGAACAGAATTCACTAGCCCGAAAGCAAAATCCACTAGCCCCGGGCTATCGGGCACGCTGCTGTGCATGGCTGAAACTCCAAACTAAAAGGCAAGTTTTTGACTTTCAAATCAACTACTTTGCGACCATCAAGATAACCTGAGCCAAAGCCTTTTTCCAATCCGCAGTTAAATTTAATACGATAAAATTAGAAATGATTTTCGTTTGAATAAATACTTGACATACTTGCAGGGTGCAAAGAAAGTCATTTTACAGCTTGCCATTCGGGCAAGCTCAAGCTAGCATTTACTAGCCCAAACGTCACTTCAACTAGCCCCCCAAATTTTTTAATGAGCAGAATTGATTTCATAGTTTTTATGTAAGTTAAATTCCTCAAAATACTTCACTTGCCCGTCGGGCACGTTAAGAACAGAATTCACTAGCCCGATAGCAAAATCCACTACGCTGTGCTTGTGTCCCAAACCAATGAACATTTGGAATAACGTGGTGTATTACACAGCTTCATATCTCAGTGGAAAAAAAGGGGTTTAGGTAACGAACAAACCTGCCATTAACATGAAAAAAGGATATCCTCTTCACATCACCTTTTGCTAAACGAAAGTCACCTGTTAATAACCAAGCAAAGGAATATGAGCTGAGTAACTCGTCTTCTTCCTGAGGTCATAACCTGTAGAATAACTCACACCCAACGATACAAATGTTGCCTTCTTTTCGTTTGTTCTGGTGCGAGTTTGTTGATTTTTTTTTCTGTTTATAGCCTTGATTATTCGACACAAACTCGATAGAAGGCTGTACAAACTTTACTGAGAACGTGAGTAAATTCATGACGTCTTTGTCTAATTTTTCCAAGGACTCTTTCAACATTTCCTATCTATCTAACTACCATTTATTTGCCTCCATCACAATAACTGATAATGCTGTTTGTTTGTTTTTCGCGGTTCGTAAGAAGTTGATCCCGTTAGCTTAATGCTTCTCCCCTCCATGCGTCAGTCAACTAACTCTCTTCTAACAGACATCGAATGGACAACTCGAGAACGGTAGCTCCCTGCCGTTCAAAAGTCGTTTTTCTATGTCCCTACAGGTGTCTCTATCTGCCTTTATGCGGACAACTCCCTAAAGGGGACATGGAGTATTAATCCCAGTAGTGGTATCAGGTCGTTTTGCCCGATGGCAGTTTGCCCAGACTAAGTCGATTCGCCCGACTTGCATTTGTTGTTCTTTAAGCCTGAGAAAAAAATATTAAGCATGGAAAGACAGGGACTGCACATGTGAAATCCAAGGTTCACCATGTTGAAGGGTGTTGCATATCTTCGAGCGAATCGTCTGAAGTCCTTGCGGACCCCTTCAGGCGAAACGACCGCAATTTCGAGTAGTTCTTCAGCCGTTGCAATCGACTCTCTATAAGGCGGAAATCTTTCTTAGATGGAAAGCTAGTATCGTCCAAACAATGGTATCTGTCCTAGAGAGAGATAACTGCAGACTCTTTTTCTCAACCTCCCCTACCTGTGTAAAGGACGCTCCCATGTTGGCCTTCAAATAAGAACCTATGGACATCATAATCAAACAAAAATCCAGACAATAAAGTTAAACAGTACCTCCTCAACATGCAATTTAACTCACTAGTAGCATCTCGTTTTAATACATTAGAGATTCATGTCAGGCACTATGCAGTTAGCAAGGAAACAGCTCTAAGCCAATCATAATTCAGTTAAACTTAGTTCGTCACTTTTAACACATGCGCTGCTTTTCGGCAAAATTTCCATGGCCACATAACTTTATCAAGGGTAATTACCTATTATAGGTATCATTGTCCAGATAACCAAAGTTTGAATTTATTACAATGTTCTTTGAGACAAATCACCAATAGATGGATGTGGATAAGATGCCCAAACAAGTTAAAGGAGACGCAAGAAGGCCATAACCATAACAACAGAATGAGTGTCAACCATCAGGCACTTTTACAGTGACAGAGGGAGGGGAAGGCTTGGGGCGGGGTGCTTTACTAACTTCTGGGGAGGGGCAACATGAGGAAAATGATTTGACTCAAATGGGAACATGGCCCTTGTGACGCCCTATGACCACCCCATATACAAATAGCAAAGGAGACTGCTGGCCAGCATTACCTTAATGCTTATGTTTAACCTTCCCTGAGTTACATTTACAGTCACACATAAATACTGTTATAGAATACTTACATGACGGAACCAACACAATGACCAGCAGGGAGGAGTGTTACACAAATTGAATTTTGCTGTGGAAATTATAATCAAACACAAAAAAATCAAACATTCTAATACATAACAGAATTAAAAAATGACCAGAAGTTTTAACACACCTCGTCTGTCTTCTCATCAAAGAGTGGAATAATGGTCTGTTGCTCCAAAGGTATACTGCGCTACATTTAGAGAAAAAAAGATGATATTTTGTTATCTTTCAGCCAATAGTATAAAACAAGGAGGCAGAGACTGGCTGAGTGGTCAGCATGTAGGACCCACAATCCGGCAGTCCTGGGTTCGTGTCCTGCTCTGCCACTTGCTGGATTTGTTCTCCATCATCATGAGTTCAAACCCTCAGTCAACTTTCATGCTTTATTTGGATTATTTATTTGAGAATTATTTGAGTGGTGTGCCTGTAAACTAGCTGGGGTAAGCTAAGTGCACTTTCCGCTATAAACAATGCTACATGTATATACATGTGCTGTATACAGGACAGTCTGGTCATTACAAATGACTTACTCCAAACAAACAAGTTTACTATGCAAGAAACAAAGTTTGCCAAACAACCAAACAAACAGCAGGCTGCCTAAATTGTCTGTCAATGATGGAAATGGAATCTGACGGCCATTTGACTAACTTTTATCCAGTCACTGCAATTATGACATGACGTGACATGACTCCTGATTATTCACGCCTATTAAAATGCTCATTCCATGGGAAAGAAAGGATGATGAAATATTATTTTACTAACAATATAATCCTTCAGGTGACTGTATGCTGGGTTGCACATTAACAGATTTTGGGTTGTTTCAGAACAATAAACAAACACAGTTTTGCTGGTGAGAGAAAAAGAACATTTAACATTAAAATAAAGTACTTTGTCATTTACAGTTTAAGAAGTTACTTGAAAATTTAATTTACTTTAATTTACTTTAAAATGTTGATGGGTTATGATCCTAGAGGACCTTCAGTATGTAAGTTACCTAACGGTGAACAAAGAAAGCAAATATTTTTGGCCTGAGCACAAATCCAATGACTTGTTAAAGATGCAAGATATCGGAACATATTTAATTTTCTTCCACAGGAAAGTGGAAAATGCTTTAATCAAAAGTTACTAGTTATCCAAAACAACAAACTGCATTGCATTATTTTCAAATCTAATATCTACACCTTGCAGATTTAAAATCACCATCCGCCAAGATTTCTCTTACCTTGTCATCAGTCTGTCATGGAAAGCTGAAGAATCCAATCCAGACATATGATCTAAGTGAAATACAAACAAGAAACAACTTTGCAATAATTTCACCTCTCCTCTTTTCCCCTTCTTTCCAAAGTTAATACAGAACCACATAAATGTCATGTTTGGTGAGATCTTACTGTCAAACTCAGAAAACCATGAACATCTGAGAATTTTCGGGAATGTTGATGCGTAGTGACCAATCGCACTGAAGATAAGGACATGCGAGCAAAAAATACTTTACGTAAGAACACAGATTATGCAAAACAAAAGAAACAAATTAAAGTAGTAGACAATAACGTCTCCTCACGAGGTTTGTCAATTTCTGTTTGTTTGTTTTGTTTGTTTCACTCAATCTGTGCCCCAAGGGTAAAGATTTCCGTACTGGCCCCCATTTAAGGTTACTAATGATGCAGCACGCAAACTGTAAAATGTGCGGAAATCTTTACCGGTGCATTTATTTTAGTAAAGACGAATAAGTTTTATACCTTTGTGACAATGAGAAAGAAAAAATGCCACACTATCAAGATTCTCTTTCTCAAAATTGTCTGCAGAGATTGCAGGATACTCCCGGAATTTTCCCGTAAAAGAGCTCATGTTGAATCGCGGCAACGCTCTGTCCACGATCGGTTAGAACAGGCACAAGTATAATAAGAAATATCACGTCATTTTAAGGGGAAAGAAGGTCGAAATCCTAAAAAAAATAATAATAATCAAATATGGCGGCATTTCGCGAATTGTGGTGCCCAGTCTCAATTCTACCATATAAGGCCAACATGGTCATATTTGGTAACGTGACATCACCCGACAAGTGGTATCACTATATCACGGGTTTCTCTTGTTGTCTTGTTGTAAAGTCTTGCAGTTCTTCGTATATTTATAGCTGTTTTAAGAATATCATTGAGGTCTTTGTGATGTCCGCGGCTGATATAGAGTCGCAGGATTCCATAGACGCGGAATCGAGCGAATATGATGAGGATGAAGATAATGATGACGACTATTATTACACGAATATTTATGACGATGAAGGGATGGCGTCCGACAAAGAGGAAGACCCTGAAAGTTTCGAATATGTGATCATTGATTCGAATGAAGCTAAGCAAATGTTCGATTCCTTTGTAGCTAACGTTTCCCGGCAAATAAAGGTGGGATCCTTAACGATACCTTTAAAGTGCAATAATATTGTTCGGTAATGTCATCATATCTTCGTGATCTTTATTTATTTCCTATTTCACTAAGTTCTAATTTATATCCAAAGGTGTCGGAATCTGTTGCTAGGATTCTTCTTATTCAGCATGACTGGAACACAGAGAAGATTTTAGAAAGGTTTATCTTGTTTATTTTAAATTCAATCTCATTGTCCCCTAGATGGGAGACCCGTTAGCTCTTATTAATTACATTATTTTAGGTTATTTGAATTCATAGTAATTGATCAATAATTAACTTACAAGACATCAGTAAACAAAGAATTCATTGAGGTTACATAGTTCCACATAAGCTTACACACCTTATCTCGGCTGTTACTTATCACAACCTATAAGATGGAAAGGAAATTGGAAAAATACATGTAGATCTAGGCCAATTCCTAAATATTGAACAATCTTTGCATCTCATGAGTCGGTAGCTTGTGCCAGGCTCTCAGATAGTATAGTGCGGACGTAAAACGAGCAAAGCGAAAATAAGACGCGCGGAGCCTGGAACAGGCTAATGAGTCGGTCAATTTCAAGTGACCCCACCTGGGGGAAGGCAGGGGCGGGGATGCTTGGGTCAATTTTTGCTGGGCATGTGCCGCTGATTTGTCATAACCACTACCCCTTTATAGTCTATTCTGTGGCAAATTATAGACCCCTCATTAGTCACTTTTGGACAAATGTAATTTCCGCGATCCCAACGTAGTCATTTTCTGTTGATGCATCTACCTTGTAAAGCCTTTTAACTAGATCATCCTGAAATTAATCTTCCTTTCTTTAAATCCCTAATTACCAGAATATTGTTACGCCCAAAATCCCAAATGTGTGTGACCCCATTCATGTAACTGTATTGAATTCAACCTTGTTGTAGTCAATCCAGTTGTGAAAATGCAACCCCATCCAGTGGTACATCCCAAATAGACTGTTACTACAAAGTAATTCCCCCCCCCTCCCTCAGCATTCCGGGGTAGCAAGAGGTGATATTTATGTAAGAGCTGCCTCAGTTTATCCAATAATTATTGCAGAAAGGATTGTTAATTTTGGTAAATTTACCAATCTTTACACTCCCCTGTGTATATGCATGTATTTCATTGTGTGAGAACTGGAAATAACGTACATAGCTGTACGTGTGCATGCGAGCAGTCACAATCAATAGTTTTGCTTGTGAAGTGAAAAACTGACAACACTCTTTCTTGTGTCTATTACAGCACCTTACTAGTAAAGAAAACACAATTTTCAACAAAAAAAAGATCAAGAGGGCATCCTTAAATTAAATATAATAAATGTTGTATTTTGTAGGCACAGGATTGATCCTGTAGGTCTACTTGTAGAAGGAAGAATTATTCCTGAAAAACCTGCCCCTCAAACTGTAAGTATTTTGAGAACAGTTTACTGAATTTTTACATTACAAGTCATGTAGTATAATATGGTCAAACCTTGTAAATATAGACAGTGAGGAGGTCACAGTTCTAAAGTGTCCGTATTAACAAGGTGTCCGTATTTTGTTTTTGTTTCGTCATGAAACGAGAACAATAGCTTTTAATTAGTTCCTTTTTTATGCAAAAGAGAGTGGCAGGATGAGGATGTTGAAGTTGGGGAAGTCAGTTTGATAAGTTAACCTCCAGAACTGCAAGAGGCTATTGGTGATAGTGTGGGTGATGTTAGTTGTTCAAAGTTTCAATATGATATTTTGACTCAGACCAGTTTTGAAATGCCATGTGGGACATATGGCACACTTTGACTAATTTCTAGATTAAACGCCGACTTTGTTATATCAAGGCTCTACTGTAATTTGGTGGCTGATTGGATTCAACCCTCCTTCCCTACCCCTTTAAAATCTTGGATCAACAGCAACAGCAACAACAACAAGCTTTATTTGCATGACCATAAAAGCTTCATTGTATTTTAAAAAAAAGAACTAAAATTATATCATAGGAGAATTAAGTTACTTTGATGATAATTTGTCATAAAGATCAAAGCAAGCTGATCCTTCCCAGCCTTGTACTGTGCAGGGTTGTCACTAAGATTTCAAGTTGCCGGGTAAATACAACAAGTAGGCGGGGAATCAAATGGCTAGGGATTTCTTTTGGTTCTATTTTGCTTCTATTTTCCAATAAAAGTAGCCGGGGGCCACTCTCTTGGTAGCCAGGGAAAATCTCCGGCCCCCGGCTCTTAATGACAACCCTGACTGTGGGTACATCATGTTTTGTTTTCATCTCACTCTGCAGACTTCAAGGTCGCTTTACTGTCCCGTATGTTTCCAACGTTGCACAAAGTCCAACACAAGCAGTGCAGCCTGTGGCCATGTGTTCTGTGATGATTGCTGGTTGCTGTATTGTATTTCTCAGTTAAAAATTGGCTTATCCTCTGGTACGCAGTGAGAAAAAAATTTCCTGTTTAGATGCAAGTGTAAATTTTGTAACTTTTCAGCACTTTCAAAAATGACCATAATTATTATCAAAGGGGTGTTCTTGCAGGGATGTAATGGGCCGACATCAGCAGCAAAGCTGTAAAGCCCAAAGGGCACTGTGAAGCTATTAGGGTGCCCCTAAAATCACAAGTGGGACTCTTGGGCAGCATTTTCTCGAGTTTAACTTAGCCTAAAGTTCACTTAGCCACATTTAAAAAATTAAAATGAAAACAATGCAAACTACTCCACTGAAAGAATTGCCAGACATTAACAACCAAATTGGGTGGCCAGCATGGCATTTCGTTCGTTCAGGTTTAAATTTGTAAAGAATTGTTAAAATGACCATTAATTTTCCTTGACCGTTGATAATTAGTTGTTCATAAACAAGGATGTACCATAGGATGGAACATTGTTCAGTGAGGTTGCGCTGTGCAATTTTTTTCAGGTATTGAGTGTATGAACTGCAATCTTTTAATCGGAGAAGAAATGGCTCTGAAAGTACTAAAAAATGATGCAGCTGAAGAAAAATATAGGCATTTCCTTTTTAATGATGAAGTTAAGGTGAGTATCCAAATTTTGTATCATCAAGTTGAATGGTAACGTAAAAATCCAGGTGTTAGTCTTCTTGAAGAGATCCAGTGGTGATACTGTGATCACTAGACCATTCTTATTTCTCTTTATAATTAAGTTAACAAAACTTACTTAGGGTAGGAGACAAGTGCCAAGAAAAACATTTTGCGCTGTTCAATACATTCACCACTGGACATTTGACAAAAAAAAAATGCCGTTTTAAGCTGTTTGAGTCATGTCTTGGTCACTACATGGCCAAGAAGAACCAAAACTCTAATGTTGTTTTACAGTCAAGTACTGTGCTAGCTTTTGTTAAGCTACAAGCAAACGAACGCAACAACTCCCAAGTGGTGTACAAACGGATGCAACATCTCCCAACAATGTTGGTACCTGCAGTGCATTGTGGGAAGGATGTAACCCATAAGACTTTGGAGACCATGTGTAATGTGCATGCAAGTCCCCAACAATGTTGGAAGAGCTGTGCAAACAGATCCATTGTTGCACCATGCCTTGGTGTTCACAGAACAAAAGAAATGTTGGGAGTTTTTAGCGTAAAAGTTTGACTGGTTTCAAACTTTGCGCAACAACATGCAACAGGGTGTACAAACAGACGCAATGTATAACATCCGACAATGTTGGGTCTTGTTGTCCAACACTGTTGTGTCCGTCTGCCCTGAGCACAGGGCTTAACTGATGCTAACCTGATGACATCACAAGAGGTACAAGGGATGGGGGTCCACACCGGCTGTTATGGAGCAATGAGGCTTGATTAGGTTAATGAATTAAGTTATGTCTTTATATTTTATTCTTTCTTTTGTCAGCATCATCCTTTAATTAGATGGTGCCCAGGAAGTGACTGCGGTTATCTCGTTAAAGTAGTGGAACCTAAAGCGAAACGAATATGGTGTTCACATTGTTATTCAATATTCTGGTGAGTCTTGTTCTATGCCTCACTTATGCCTAGAAATAACCTCGCAGTGTTGTTGGGCTCCTAACAAGTGTCACGGAGACACAGATTTCCTTTCCGTCAAAATCTTCGTGTTCGGAAACGTCTTCACAATTCATCGTTGAGAAAGAGGCTTCATGTTCAACATTTCCAATAAAATAGTTGACCCTTTACTCCTAGAGCACTTTACGGCAAGATTTAGCCTGGCTCCACCGCCAAAATTTTCCCCGAAATGACACAAGTGAGCACACACTGCTGACCTCGACCACTACTGTCCTCTGTGACAAGTCTAAAGAGCGACCTTGCAGACTAAAGTTCCAACTTTGCTTTGATTATTCCTGTCATAAACTTTCGTCCACTTGCATATTTATATAATTTTATCCGATGTACGCTACGTTTTTTTCAGTTTCATGTGCGGAGAGAAATACCACGCTCCTACAGACTGTTATACCATTAAGAAATGGCTTACAAAATGTGAAGACGACTCAGAGACGGCAAATTATATCACAGCGAACACAAAAGATGTAAGTCCTGGCCATCGATTCAACTGTTTCTTATAACTATTTATTAATTATTTCAAAATTTTATGAATAAAGAATATTCCCTGCCCGCAGTTTACAAAAGCTAGTCGAGGCGAACATCTCACAAGCAGGACTGGAGAAAAGGAAATAAAATTAAGTTTACAGTCATGTATATTGCAAAGTAAAAAATGCAAATATAAGAAGGCGAGTGTTCGAGAAATTTTCGTTACTAAGTCGGCTAAATCAATATAATCATTCTCATCTGAAAGTTTTTGGAGTAAAGTGTCGTGGATATTGATTTTGAAGTTATCTTTTGACATGTGACGCATTTCACAAGATAAGCTATTCCATATTTTTAAGCCAACCTTGAAAAAGACTTACGGGTACTTTAATTGTCTAATCTGGAACGTTTAACATAGTAATTACCCCTTGAAAATGATCTTGTACTATAGATGAATGTTACATTGCGAAGTAAATGGATTATAAATATGTTAGTTATAGTACATGTTAACTAGACTGCGAGAGTTTTCTTCCTTGCTATAGTTTCTTAAAAGGAAAGAAATGTCTACCGGCGAGACGAAACAAGCGCGCTGTGAGCGTTGCTGCCGCAAGCTGCGAAGCTCCGAATATCGGTCCTTTCTTTTCTTCTCCCCGTTCCGTCCGCGTTTTTGACGGCTAATTTTCCGCGATCACTGATCTGATGAAAAAATAACGTTTGCGTGCGCGCATTCTGGTGATTCCCTGCTAAACGCCTGTCACAGTGTTCCCCGAAAATCTCACGTCCGTTTCATACAGCTGCAAATAGTTTTTTTCTTTTAATTCTTGAGAGGACTATCCTGCGTCACAGATGAAACTAAACTTCCGGTTAAGTCCGTCTGCGAAACGGCGCCAAAATCCTTGTTCTGGGTTCCCACCTGTGTACCGGTTAGAAGGGTTATCGGTTAGAAGGGCTAAACAAGAGGCTAATTTAATGTACAAGCGCATCAATAATCTCGCCCCAGCTTTATCTGTTTGCCCCAAGAACACCGAATTACTATTTTCGCAACGCGAAGAAAAAAATTAATGCTCCCAAAACCAAGAACTGATTACCTGAAGCGTAGCTTCAGTTACAGTGGCTCTCTTCTATGGAACAATCTTCCTGAGGAAGTCCTTAGGTTTCTTTAAGAGAAGTTCCCATAGATGGTTTTCTGATTAGTACTCCCACACGGCAAATATGTAAAACAGTTTTTGAGAATTTTTAATTAATTTTCTATATTAGACTGATGTTTTTAACCGTGTTTAAATAAAGTTATCATTCATTCATTCCAACCAGGATTTGAGTACGCGCCATGATTGGCCTGTTGAAAAGGCCATTGTTGATTTGCCAATCAGGTTGAAGGAAAATTCAAACGCATTTCTGGTAATTCGTAGAGTCTGTTGGGGGGCCCAGAACAAGGATATCGGCGCTGCTTGACAGACGTTACTAGTCGGGGTTAGATTACGTCTGGGATCAATTTAGGTTCCCGGGAAAATGACCACCTACCCCTCCCCTAAGCCAACATTTTGTCCTAGGTGAGAAATAAGTGATAATGTTGGCTTAGGAGAGGGGTAGGAAGGCAGTCTCCCAGAATCCTAAAATGATCGCAGACGTTACTAGCCAGGGTTAGATTACGTCTGGGATCAATTTATGTTTCTGGGAAACTGACCGCCTACCCCTCCCCTCGCCTTAAGGGAGAAGTAAGTGATAATGTTGGTTTAGGGGAGAGGTAGGTGGGCAGTTTCCTAGAAACTTAAATTGATCTTACGTCTGCGACGCAGACTATGAAACGACATACATGTGCAAATTTGCGTGTAAAAAGTCTGCGTGTAAAAGCTCGTGTAAAGATTTACACGCGAGTTTTTTGCGTGGATTTTTCGTGGAAATCCGCCATATTGCACGCAATGTACCCGCGTGTAAGTGCTGCAATGCCCGTGGCCTGTACTGTATGGCCGGCTGAGTCATCATTTTTTTTGAATGGCTGTTGTTTTTTTAATGCAGTGTCCACACTGTGGAAGCTGTATCGAGAAGAATGGTGGATGTAATCATATGGTATGTACAAAGATTCAACAATCCTTATCTCTTAAAGATTCTATTCATTGAGAACGCAAAGAAGTACAGTGGAACCCCGTTAATACCGCCACCAATGGGCCAAAAAAATTTGGCTGTTATAACGAGGTGACCGTATTAACGAGGGTTTCTTTACAAGAAAATGTATGGTCGTTTTTGCCTGGCGGCCATAAAAAAGTCGCCGTATTACCGAGGTGGCCGTAAGTCGGGGTTCCACTTTAAAGTCGTCTGTGACGTATTGTTGAGTTTTTAATTATGATTTTCAATTTTTGCATTTCTTTCACCGATTTCTTGTTTCGTTTTAATTCCTCAGCAATGTATAAAGTGCAAACACGGTATGTTGGAAATATTAAGGTTAAAATGCATTACCGAGTAGTCAAGACTTAAATTGCTTTAAATCTTGTTGTGCAACAAAAATATTAATAAAACTTCTTTTTGGGAAATATTGTTTCAGATTTTTGCTGGATGTGCTGTGGAGACTGGAGAAGTCATGGATCAGAGTATTACGAATGTAGTCGATATAAATCCAATCCAAATATTGTTAACGAGTCTGCTGGAATTCAAGCTAGAGAGGCACTCAAGAAATATCTCTTCTATTTTGAAAGGGTATGTGATGTCAAGTGTACCTATAGCCCCGTTTTCAGGTTTACCACGATGCCTACTCTTTCAAAGAAAAAAGGATTATGTGTCCCCATTGACATGCTTGCGTATCCGGCCTCGTCTTGGAAGCAAGGCTTACCATGATACTGAAAGATTTTTTGACGTTGTTGACGCTAGGATTTGTCTTTTTTTATTTATTCTCCCAATTTGTCGTTGTTTTATTCTCGCAAGACAGGACTCAAAATAACAGCTGGTCAACGGACAATGTCCGGCCAGAATGGCCTCTTGACCGGCCAAAAATTACACTCGCCGGTCATGTTGACCGGTCACGCACACTCTCATTCTTGAATAAACAGCCAAATCCTCACTTGGAAATCAGATTTTTACTCCTTCTAAAAATACAATCACTTTAACTTTAACTTTATCGCCTTTTGAACTGAAGTCTTTTAGTGTGAAGACAGAGTGTACGGCAGCTTAAAGATTTACAATTTTAGAAAAAAAAAACTTAGAGACTAGCTGTTTTATTATTAGTTAAAATTTAGACGGTATAACTAAAGCGGGCGTTATTTTATCTGTTTAGTTTGCGTCACCTTGTAAGTTTTGAAGGGTTTCACTGCCATTTTTCTCAGAACCATTTCTCAAGTTTTGACTTTCTCTTGTATTTATTGTTTTTGCTAGTGGCAAAACCATGCTGATAGCCTCAAACGAGAACAAGAGACAAAACGGAAAATAAATCAGAAGATACAGGAAAAAGTCAACAATAATATCGGCACATGGATAGACTGGCAATATCTCATGGATGCTGCTCAGTTACTCGCTAAGGTAAGCGGGTCGTTACATGCACTTATGATATATCGACTTTTGTTGACACCAAAACTGATGATGGTAGGATCAGGACGAAAGAGTTTGGATAACAATGATTATGTTGGTTGTGGTGATGGTTTTGTTGTCCATGATGATATGGAAGGTAATGAAGACGATATCAATGATGGTAATGACGCTGGTGATGTAGATGGTGATAGTATGATGGGGATGATGATGGCGATGGCGATGATGATGATGATGATGATGATGGTTATTATTATTATTATTATTATTATTACTATTATTATTATTATTATAGTACTTGTACTGGATAGTTTTTTTTTTTAAGCAAAATTTAATTGTAAATAGGCCGGATTTTGTAGTTAGTTTTATTATTATTATTATTATTATTATTATTATTATTATTATTATTATGTCAAAAGTAGGTTGAGTTTGATCGTCCGGGTGAACGTAGTCCTGAATAGGACTGTTGTTGTTGACAGTGTCTGACGTTTCGACAACCTGTGCGGTAGTCATCTTCCGAGTCAAAGTGAGTTGTGTCACGTCAGTTGATAGTATTATACTCTGGTTATTGATCTGATTGGTCAATTACGTCGCGATGTTATTGGTCGTCTGTCAGTTAAGCCGTGATGTTATAGACCTATTCGGCTAACTCAATGTTTTACCCAATTCAAATCTCCCGGGGTTAAGATTCTTTGTGTATTGTATTTGCATTATAATGTGGCATTCTCATTTAAATGTATGGAAATTCCTGAAACAAAAAGTTTTATTCCCAAAGGGTTTGAATTGGGTACAACACTGAGTTAGCCGAATAGGTCTATTGGCTATGAAGACTCGTAATCAGTAATTGGTGCGTTTTTTCACATTATTTATATTATAATGTAAATGATGATGATGATGATGATGATGATCAGAACGATGACGACGACAATGATCAGAATGGTGATGGTTAGAGTAGTTGTAAAGATGATGTCAAGTATTTTGTTAACCCAAATTCTTCCATTCATGTTTCAGTGTCGTTACACGTTGATGTATACTTATCCCTATGCGTACTTCATGGAGGATGAGAGAAAAAGACTTGTAAGTTTACTTCCGGAAAATTCACCATACAATTTCGATGAATTACATTGTATTCACACTTGGCTCCGAGGCTTGGAAGAATAAAACAAACTTAATCAACTTGAAGCTCAGGGATGAGTTGTTATTATTCTTAAGACTTGGAGTCCCAGGATGAATTGTAAGGTATCAAAATTGGTTTATATATTTTCCACTCTTTTAGACCTAGTCGTACTTCTAAATAAGCTTTTTCAATTCATTACGATATTTCCATGTACATTTAAACCACCTCTGTAATCAATGCATCCGTCCGTCTATGTGGGGACAATTCTCTACTTTGTTCAGCATGCAAAGAAAGTAGTGTCCGATAGCCCGGGTCTAGTGGATTTTCCTATCGGGCTAGTGAACTCTGTTCTCAACTTGCCCGACGGGTAATGGAAGTTTTTTGAGAAATTCTAGTTACAGAAGAACTTTGATATCAATTCTGCTCATCAAAAAGTTTTTGGGGCCAGTTAAAATGACGTTTGGGCTAGTATATGCTAGCCTCAGGTTGCCCGAATGGCCAGCTGTAAAAATGACTTTCTTTGCACCCTGTTTGTTCTGTCAATCTGAGTCGGTTTAAAGGTTTGACTATATTTTTCTTAACAGTTTGAGTATCAACAAGCACAGCTTGAGCTGGAAATAGAAAATTTGTCTTGGAAATTAGAACGAGACGAGCTTTATTGTAGAGGGGTAAGTGAGTTTTGATAGCAGATCTAAAGAGACAACATGAATATGCGTCGTCATGATTTAGGCACAGAGATTTCTTCGGTTGCCGTTCAGAAAAGATAGGGAAAACTTCTGTTCTGTAGTGTTAGTATGGAGCTCAAGCAACAACGACGCCGAGGGCTACGAAAACGTCACTTAAAAAGTGTATTCGCACTGCTTCAATCTTTATCGCGCTTCTTCCATCTCGTTCAGTTCGTCAAATGTTGGTAGCCTGCTCGCAAGCTCTCCTATTCGGGCGAGTAAAACGAGTCTCGCGAGAACGCGCGAGCGGGCGGCGAAGCCGCGAGGGTCCTCGGCCCCTCGCTCGCGCTTTCTCGCGAGACTCGCTTGGCTTGCCCAAATAGGAGAGCGTGCTCGCAGGCTAAATGTTGGCTATGTTTTTCTCGAGTTAAATTCTAAAAGACTGTATCGAAGTTAGAAAAAGGAAAAGAAAATCGTTGTCTTGTGTTCACGTCTTCCATAAAACGTGAAATTAGGAAGCGTCACGTCGTAGTCGTGCCGTGACGCCAAAGAAATGTACAAACAAGTGAAATGCACGTGCAGAGTTCAGTGTGATCTAAAGCTAGTGCTTTTTTTTGCCGTTCTCGTTGCCGTTGCCGTCGCCGTCGCCGTCTTCGTTGCTTAAGGTCCCTATTCGGATTCTGGGGATGGCGCCAGAAGATGTGAGCTGGAAGAATACAGTCAACTCTTTCTAAGTCGAACACCTTTGGGGCAGGTACTAAGTGTCCGTGTAAGAGAGATGCCCGTCTTATAGAGAGTCAAATATAGCGAGTAAAGAAAGACAGGGACCAACTCTAGGTGTCCGTTTTGCAGAGGTGTTCGTCTTATAGAGGTGTCCGTTAAGAGAGAGTCGACTGTAGTCTCTCTTCCTCGTAATTTTTTTCCCGCTGTCTGCCTTCGCGCTGCACTCTACCATCCGAACGCCTGAAACAAGCAATAGTGTTGTTATATTAGATGTCAGTAGGTCAAAACTGCCATGTGTTACGCTATTTTAGCAATGGTGACTGGAATGATTACCATATATTTTGCTACAAAGTCGTTACGCTGCATATTGAAGTTGTTTTGCTACGAAATCGTTTCGCTGCATATTGAAGCCGTTTCGCTGCAAAGTCGTTAAGGTACAATTTTGAAAACGTACAGAAAACTTTGTTCTTGGCAGTGTGTTTTGTTATAAATATAAAAGCTTGTTTTGGTCAAGAATTGAATTAGACTTGGTGGCCCTTAGAGATGACCACTAAATATGGTGCGCTCTTGGGTTTGGAGAAAAAATCTCATAAAAGCAACCCAATGTGTGTCCGAGTAATATACCGATAAAAGTTCCTTATCTTGGTTTTAATATTTTTCATTGGTATTGTTATATTTCAGGACTTTGAAAATCAAATGGATATAGCAGAGAAGAGAAGACAGACGTTACTGAAAGACTTTCTTGTGGTTTAGTTACAACGGTAGCCTCCCACGCAGACGTTCTTAGGGCTTCGTCACGCAATCATTCCTCGAACGCGTGACGAACCCCTAAGAACGTTTGCGTGGGAGGCTATTACAACGGCTACGTTTGTAATTTCTTGTGTGACCGTCACGTTCTCTGAGAGACATGATTCAAGTCGTTCAAGTCACGCCAGATCTTAAAGAGATAATTCAAAAAAAAATTTCGGAGTTAGAATTATTTCAAGAAACGTTTTCTCGTCTCTGTTTGTGTTACAAAGACTTGAAATGTTTAGCTCTTAAAAATTTAAAGACTTAGCTTTTTTAAAAAATGCCTTCTATTTGGTACATTGCTTTTTCAATAAAAGGCAATTAAACGTTGCGCAACTTTAACTTATGTTTACGTCATCAACGTGTCTCCCCCTCGTTTGATTCTAATCTCCTCTCCCCTTCTCTCCCTCTTAAAGGCCTGTTTAGAACATCAAGACCGTCCTGACCTCTGGTCTCAGTTCGTTTTTGCTGGAAATGAGCTTTTAAATGGATTTAAATCACTGTTAGATGTAAACCTTTTGCCCGGGGGTACTCCCTATAATATCCTATACGGGGAGGCTCCGCGCGAAAGAGGTAACATCAGGCTTCAGACATATCAAAGCGTACGGAAATCACGAGTTGAAGTGTATGAAAGGTTTAAAAGGAAATCTTTCATTTTAAGTATTAAAAGTTCCTTTAAATAAAATCTCTCGAAAAGACGCGCCCTAAGGCTGTAATATTTTGATTAACTAAACGTTACCCAGAAATGACAAGAGGAATTCCTGTTTTAGCGCTGTATCCCTTATTAAGTAGGTAAGTTAATGGCGTACTCTTTTTCAATGCAAGGTATACGAAAGGCGTACCTTTGGTCAAAAAATGGTATAATTATAAAAGGGTAAGGGGTGAACCGCGGGGCGAAGCCTCTTCCCTGAGTAGAACCTTCCTCCCCGTGACCTTATGCCATCAAAAATCAGGACATCCATTATCCACAAAAGCGGAAGTTTGAGGTGTGGAGGATGTTATGGCTGTAACTTAGCTGGGAAATTCCCAGGACCCGAAAGTGAAATTCACGAGAAACCGAAGTAGTAATTGTGACGCAAATGAGAGCCAGATTATATTCCCATTCTAAGAGAAATCTTGATGGCCCCTCACAAGTTTCCCTTATTTATGTGCCAAAGATTGATTCGATTCGATGTATTTTTCTTCAGTCACGTGTCATGGCACTACTTACCTCAATGAAGTAACATTTTTTTAATAGAAGGAAGAAAAAAAACAAAGATAACAATCTCATATCAATTACATGCATGAAGAGGTTGGAACGTGCCCCCCAAAAGACAATCCAAATGGATTTGAAAACCCCCAATCGCCCTAATAAGTATGCGATTTGGTAGAGAAAACAAACCTCTTTTGTTTCTTGCGTACAAGTCAAGACGCATCCTTCCCTACTTGGTAGAAACCTAAACACCGAAGTGCCTGCTGGGTAATATACTCAAAGATGGCGGTGAAATAGATTTTGTGAGCTGTAATCTCCTTACTTTGTTGCTCTGCAGTGGGATCATAATGTGATCGGTTTATGTTAGAGTAAGGGTAAGTCATGTAGTAATCACTTTTTGTTGTAAAGTAAATATTTTTTTGAGCACACAAAGGGTTTGCGTCGATTTTGAAATGATACGGCTGAAGGTAAGCTTACTGAAGCTTTGTAAAATTTGATCACGTTCGAACGCGCGAACGTACTTCATCAGACCTCTCTTTCGAGCAAATAGATTTTATTTTACCAGGATATAAACTAATGAATTATTTGGTAGACCATGGTAGTTTCGGAAATTTGTTCAGGCTTGTTTTAAAAAGGATTGATTCATGACTTCCAAACGAGTAGACCACTTCCGTTCGGCGGATTTCATGCGCGAGCAAATATTTTCGCGGGCTTCTTGACACGAAAACACACAGTCTAAATTTAATCTAGGAATCTGATTAAGTTGCCAAAATTCCAAGAGGCTAATGAGGAAAAATTTTAACTCTCAATTGTTTGATACGCTTTGTTGCTTCGTTAAGAATGAGTTGTTTCTCGTGAAAGAAAGATTATTTGCATTTTAAGGAAATGAAATGTACGTGTAGCTTATTACGCCTAGTTTGTGCTAAGGAAGTTAAATTTGAACGTCAAGCAAGAGAGGAAGAAACAGAAAACGAAACCCACTCAGCACGGCTGTTATATAAATAGTATGTGGCCTATCAAGATAATCTTTTTGCTGGCTGTCGGAGAAATTTTATGTCTGCTGGAGCTTATGTTTTTTTCTCAGCACTATCCTCACTGAGGAAGTAATGCTGATGTGAGCTTTAAACGATCTCTCTGAAGTTACCGTTTTTCGTTTCTGTTCGTTTTTTTGCTAGACTGCATGGCATTCAAAAGCTCTATGAATGATAACTATTTGGAGACCATTCCCCTTTTAGAACGCTGTATTTATTTTTATTTAAGCAGCTGTTCTTTATGGAATTGATCAGTCAGATACATTGGCGACGCGATGAGGGTCACGCACGAATATGCATAATTGGATTATTTCTAAAATTTAAGCTACTTAAAAACGGCTAGTTTTACATTTGTACAGATTTAATATCAAGTTTTTCATTTGTTCATATGTAATATCATTTTTTTTCTTTTGAATGTTGTAGATGTTGATAATTTTTTCTTGATGATCCACGACGTGCATAATAATATTTTGCATTTTCTGCTCACCAGTTTTAAGCTTAACAGTCTTCCGAAATAGAACTTGAATCAGATAATGTCTTTGAAATGAAATAGTTGATTTACAGATTCAAATAAAAGTTTTGCCAACTTTTTTTTGTATTACTATTTTTCTATGAAATATTCAGAGATCCAAAATGTCTTAATTTTTCCAGAAGAGTGGACACAACTACTGGAAATATTGCTTTTTGGATGTGTTAATTGAATTTGGATTATTGCTTTTGACATTTAAATACATACCAAACAATGACTCAACCGGCTTTTTAAAAACCCAAGGGTAGTCTTAAATACACTCTAAAAGGAATGAAAAGGCAAATTTACTACATTTTTATAATATTACAAATTGTGCAGCATTGAAAGTGCTTACAGGTTTTTCTGTTTTTGTTTTTTGAGACAATTTGGCATTGAATTACATTATGTCAAGTCAATATCATCTTAATTTGCATATGACATTATGACTTGCTTGGGGTAAATGAGCAGCTACAGGACTAAAACATGTGAGCAAAGCAAGCTGAGGATCAATGTGATAGACCTCAAGCACATAATTAAATTAAATGTTAGATCTCTTCCTCTATAATTACAGCCTGCAGATCAGAAATATTTTTCAATGTTGCCATTATAAAATTTTTAGAATATTGAAATTATCAAAATTTTAATGTAAAATAATATTTATATTTCAACTGCTAATCTTAAATCATCTGAAAGAAATGAAAAACATAACAAAGGTTTTGATAAGATATTTCATGATGCTTTCAGCATAATTGTTTTATCCTGAGGCTTTTCACCTTTTGTGGGTTTCATGCATAACATTTGTCTTGATTAAGGCTTCCCTTCTTATCAGACACAATGGACGCAGCTACAAGTGAAAACAAGTTAAAAAGGATTGCACAACTGAGAGCACAGCAATTTAAGATCAGAGAGGAATGTATCACCAGAGCAAGAAGCCCAGCTGGGCAGCCTGTGGCTTATCAGAAAGTGAAGGAAAAATCTAATATCAACAGGCGTTCTCGTGTGATGTCAGATCCAGACATACCAGGCTCTCTTGTGATATTAAACGCCAAAGGATTATTTCAAGGAAAGAATGGTAATGTATCTGTGAGTAATCAGGAAAGACATTGTAAGTCTGTTAGCAAGATGGATAGAGGCACCACAAACAGGCCTGTATTTTGTGATCCCTCAATTAGCAGCAAGGAATCAAAAGTGAGTGACCTGAAGAAGAGGTTTGAAGCTGTTTGTCAGCATGATATTGAAAGAGACAAATTAAAGATTGAGGGTGAATTTTTGAATCCATTACACAAGATAAATCAGCGCTCAAACACAAGTGGCAAATCAAGGGATGTTCGGAGAAACCTTAAGGAAGTTTCCAGTGGTGAGTTTGATTCTCCAAGGGATAAAGGAGTGACTGAAACTGATTTGGCAAATCCTTTGCAGAAAGCTAGTCAGGGATTTGCTTCAGTGACTGTCAACAAATCAAAGAAACCTGTTCAGAAGGACACTGAAAAGCCCCTCACAAGTGAAGCCAAGGAATGTGACAGTTTAAAAGACAAAGATAAAGGTGATCTTTCAAACTCAAATCCTCTGGACAAAGTTAATGAGGTTTTGGTTTCAAGAACTGATCAGAAATCAAAGGCAAATATACAGAAAAAGCTTGAAAATGTTCTTCATTCCACTGATGTGTTGATTAAAAAATCGACTTCACCTCCAAATGCAAATGCTGTCATTGCTGAGCCTGTTTCAGCAGAACAGTTGACAGAGTTAGAAATGAAGAAGAAACCGCCAGATAGACCTCCACCAAGACCCCCAAAGAAAGATCCTTTAAAACGTGTGAAGAGTGAATCTAACCCCATGCCACTAAGTGAAAATCACGAAGGAACAACAAATCTGCATGTTCAAGAAGGAGAGAGTATGGAGGAGATAATTCAGAATGAAAATGAGGTTCTACAGCGGAGGTCAGAAAGTGAAGGTATTGTGAATGGTAACAATGAAATTAATAGCAATGATGAAAATGGTGATGATGATGATGAAGACGACAATGAATGGGACACCGACTTTGATGACGACATTGACGATGAGGAAGAGGATAGAATAAAGCGGGATTCTCAGTCGAGCCAAGAGAGTTCAGGCGATGGAGAATCTCTTGTAAGTTAAATGTGTCATTTTGATTTACAGCAGTTCAATTGAATTACAGTTTTAAATGCTTGCATGGTGATACAGTGTAACATTATTTAATAAATATTTTAAAGTACATTACTCTGCAAAATCAAGCTGCAGTAATGGTTGGAGGTGTGAATTATATATGACGTAGGTCAAAATGAAGCTCAGGTTACAATGGCTTGAACCTAGTTTAATTCTCACTTTCATTTGTGTTTCTAACCCGCATTACTCATTATTGTGAAAAATGTTAGGGTCGCTAGACAAACGAAAGTGAGAATCAGCTTAGGTTGAAACCATTTTAACCTAGATTTCATTTTGGCCTACAATATGTATAATGAAAAACTGATGTTCAACTGAAGTTAAGAGCAAACCTATACCTATACCCAGGTAATCTATAAATTCATGATGGGTTTGAATGTATTTACATGTTATATAAATTATGTTTTGGTTAAAATATTTTAACCACTGAGGTGGGATTTTATTTATTGATTTATTCTTAACTTTAACTCTGTGTTCCTGAGATTTAACCAATACAAAAATATGTAGGTCCTGCTGATTTTTTTTTAATAATTTGTAAAACCAAAAACACTGCATATATGTAAGAAAGCATAGTATATCCATTGTTATTGTAAATTTCTTTATTCATTGTTCTTATTGCTCTATTTGTTCTCTAATTCTTGATAATTTGACTTCATTTATTTTGACCTCACTCTAAGTGTGTATAAATGTTTAATCTAAAGTGTGTTAATGTAATATGCAATGAAGTTGTTTTACAATATTAGTGTCTGGTGACGGGTTCTGGCACTTTTTGGCCTTGAGGAGGCTAGAAAATTAAGGGTTTTAACTGTTAAAACTAGAAATACATATCTTGCAATAACTTAAATTTCAAGATCACTATGGATTTCACAGGTTCCGAGCTCTGGGCTCCTATAGTGAGTTATTTTTCCAAGAGCACAGCTGTGCTGATTTGCAATAAAATATAGAACACCCGAGTTTTAAATGCTATCATGCATAGCTGTTATTCAGAATGTGAGAGGTCATCCATACTACTTGTAATGATGATCCTGCCCTTCACTCATAAGCTGCTTAAGATGAGTTTTTTTTATCTTCAACAGCAACAGAAAAGGGTTAATAATAGCAGTTGAATTAAAGTACTTTTACAAGATCAATATCACGGCTGTACTCTATCAGCGCCTGGTGGCCCCTGGTGCCTAACTTTTGCTCCCAGGCGACTAGAAAATCTTAGTTTTTTTTATACAAATCATATGATGGGCACCCTAGATTTTACACTGCAGTTTCAGAGCACCGGTCTCCCTTTTATTTTCCATACAGCAGAGCGTTGAATGTTACACTCCATGTGGCTGCATTGTCATGTTGCAGCTCCCTTTCACCGTGCAATCAGCTCTGACTGATAACCCTTTAAGTCCCAATGGTGACCAACTTCAATTTTCTCCCAACAATATTCATACCTTGTCAGGAGATTAGGTTATGAGAATTTATGAAATGATCACAAAAGAGAAAAATAAAAATGCTTTGATCTGCCATTAAATTCTCTCAACTAATTCTTAAAGGAAATGTATGGAGATCAGTTTGGAGAATTTGTATGTGGATATTGGGGCTTAAAGAGATAATGGTGTATATTTGCCCTCTTTCCTGCCTCACTATATCAGAAGCTTTGTATTACTGGTCACTATGGCAACATTAAAAGCATGTGGCATATGTTCTTTAATGTGCTACTCCAACTTGTGATGCACCAGAGTAGAAAATTTTCAGGAGAAATGTTGTAGTTCAAAGTTATTTTATTATCATTGCCATACTTGAATGGACCAATATTCAATATTCATATTGGTTTTTTAAAAAGTCATTCAATTTATATTGTAGTCTTTGTGGTTTGATATCTTGTATTATCGCTGGGATTGAGCACTATGTTTACAAATGAACAAATGTTGACAAAACAAAGAAGCTAAGTTTATAGGTCCTTTTATGGATGTTTACTTGTGTACTCTCCTAAAGTACAGCATTTAAATGGCTAGTTGGATTTGTGGATTTAAAATAATCTTATTATAATGAATCTAGTAGCAATTTATTTGAGAACATTATTAGTATTGATATGTAAATTAAAAGAGTTCGTGATATTTTTTTCACTGTTAGTTTTGAAGATATTATATGTCACGTCATTGACATAGTCAGTTTTAAATCATTTCTTTAATACTTCTTTTTATTAATGTATCTTGCAACTTTTTTGCTAGGAATTTCCAGATGCCATATCCAAGAAACTCTACAATATTGCATCAGAAATTCTCACCACAGAAAGAGCGTAAGAGCCATCTTTATCACATTTGGGGGAAATTTAAGTAGCAACCTCTTATTTTTTATTTCATTTTATTTATTTATTTTTTTAACATGAGACATATCTCTAACAGCCTTGCACCATTTTAGGCAGACAAATTAACCAGAAAAGTTGTTGGACATACTTATATTGACTTTAAATTTCTTTAATTACTTTGCATATCTTTCACTACAAATTGAGAATTTTTAGTATTTGAACAGACATCATGTCCAACTGCAGGCAAGATTTAGTCAGACAGGATTGTCGCTAAGATTTCGAGTTGCCGGGTAAATACAACAAGTAGGTGGAGAATCAAACACCGAGGGGTTTCTTTTGGTTCTAATTTTCTTCTATTTTCCAATAAAAGTAGCCTGGGGCCACACTCATAGTCGCCGGGGGAAATCCCCGGCCCCCGGCTCTTAATGACAGCCCTGGTCAGACATGGGCATTTTAGCAAATCATTGTCCATTGACTGACATGTCAGTTATTTGCAGCTCTGTGGTTGTGCGTACTGTTTATAATCTTGCTTTATCTAACAGGTACGTCCGAAGACTAAATCTCTTAGATCAGGTAAGAATTATACACAATTCCCCTTTTAAGTTATTGTTTTACTTTTGCTATTTAGCGTAAAAATTATTAATATTTTCTGGAAGGCCTAAACAGGCCATTTTCCCTTCCTCAGCTTAATTATGGGAAAGGAAGGAGTTGGAGTCTGAGTTGTAATCAAGCATAGTTCTAACTTTACGATCTAGTGAAAACAGCATTCTGATTCTGCTTACGAATCTGTCATTTATGATCAAGTGAAAACTAGGTTGTCGGAGTCACAAGCAGAAGCAGAAGAACGAAACCAAGCACAAAGCGTGAGAATGTGCATTGTGATTGGTTTATTCTTCCGCTTCTGCTTCTGACTGTGACAACCTGTTTTTCACTAGATTGTAAGCAACGGAGTCATAAGCAGAGTTGGAAGAAAATGGAAAAGATTTGATTCTTCCTAGTCCGATTCCGTCACACTCTGCTTACGACTCAGATTTTTTATTTTCACTGAGTCATAAGCGCTCTTACGACTCCGCTTACAACTCTGACTCCGTAAACCCTTCATAGCCTTCTCATAGGTGTGAGTGGTGAGAGGGGGAACACATCAGACTTACCAACACATTTGACTAACATTCATGCGATTCTTTTTGTCAGGTGTTTTACATGAGACTTAACAATGAATGTTGTGCCAAAGGAGTTATACCATTGGAAGCTTTAAATGATATTTTCTCAAACATCCAAGCAATTCATCAACTCCACAGAGATTTTCTCTTGCCAAAACTGGAAGGAAGGATGAAAGAATGGTAAGATTGTTTACCTCAAACACTTGTTTGAAGCTCCCAATGTTACGAGCACCAATTTTGGTTCAACAGGCATCCACCTGGCTGTAGCCAAGCTTCAATGTAACCAGATCAGACAAAAATGTCAGCGTTAAAACTATTAGTGCGTGAGCATGCAGTAAAAGTTGCTGATTGCGTTTCTTACATTATGATTGTAACATGGCTGAAAAAAAATATAGTAAACTTGCCTGGTGATATGAGTGATGGTGTTACTTAATTGTTTACAGGTAAACAAAGAAAAGGTTATGGCAAAGATAAATCACATTTCACCTGTTGAAATGTCATCTGCATTCTATTGTCTTAGCAGGGTTGTCAGAAAATTTTGAAGTAGACGGCTGAGTTGTCAAAGTAAGCGGCCAGTCCGGGGATATTTTATTGTAAAAACGCCATCCATAAAGAACTGCCAAATACCAATAGTAGGCGGCGATTTTCGCTGACAGCCGACTTCTTTTGACAACCCTGGTCTTAGATTATTTTACTTGACTTCAGAAAGATCCAAATTAGACTTCTTAAATATCACTGTATAATATGATTTTTCCAAAGGTCAACAAACAACCAGATTGGAGACATACTCAAAGGCCTTGCTCCTTTCTTGAAGGTAAGTTTTACTTGTGGTTAAAGTGTAGTAAGTGTAACATTAAACTTCTTTACAGTATTATTGTCTTGTTTTCCATTATTGTCGTGTAGTTAAACTCATCGTCAATGGATGAGCTTTCAAACCCCAAGTGTTTAGGTAGCTAGATTATTGAGATGGTAACCATAGCAAGCAAGTAAGCTGGAACCCTTGTAAGTGGACTCACAAGGCAACAACACGCTGGCAAGTCAGTGGAATAATACTCATCTGTGCCAAACAATGATTACTTATGACCAAGACAGGGCAATGGTGGGTGGGTGGGTGAGGGGAAAGTGCGAGAATCAGTGCTTGATCTGCAAAGACCAGTGGAACTTGTCAGAACAAAGTGGAGGCCAGGCCACTTACTCAGTGCAAATCATGTGCTCTTCCACTGTACGCAATGATTTAAGTTTAACTTTACCCAAGATTGCCTCTTGCACATCTTACGTATGGCTAGCCTAGCCTGAATTACTAGCAGGGAGTAGACAGGGTACTAGGGAGTGTCCCCACCCGTGTTTTCCCACCCTCCCAAAGAAAGACTCTTTCTGCCATGCATTTGTGTAATACTTTTGTTAAAAATAAGAAAATATTAATCTTCTCTTTTTGTTTTTCTTCAGATGTATACACTTTATGTTGGGAACTTTGACAAAGCAACAGAAGCCTTGTCAACCTGGACCAAGAAATCGCCAGCCATGGCAGCTGTGATTGAAGAAATTCAAGTAAGCTTTTCATTTTTTTCCTGCATAAGTCTTAACTGTCGTACTATAAAAAAGTTGTTAATAATCAGAACTAGTTATTTATTAGCTCAGTCGGTAGAGCACTCGACTACAACGCGGGAGGTTGTGGATTCGATTACCGGGGACCGGACCAATACTCTTAGTCTTAAAATAACTGAGAAATGAAGGCACTGCCTTTAACCTAAAAACAGCTAGACCTTCGCGCGGCTCGGATCGTAAAATGGCCGTCTTAAAAATATTGTCCTCAATTAGTAGTTTATTGCTAAATACATTGACCCTTGAATAAACTGCATTTTTTAACATTTTAGAAAAGCAAGGAGTGTGAAAATCTTACTCTCCAGCATCACATGTTAGAGCCAGTTCAGCGAGTTCCTCGTTACCAGCTGCTATTAAAAGGTTAGTTTGGGGCAGGTATCTTGAACAGGTCACTGTTTTACAAACAAATAAATAAACAAGACCAGAAGTGTCTCCTAGACTGAATCCCTATTCATTTTTTGTTCTTTATGGAGAGGAAACTATGTGGTTTAGTTGATTAACTAAAAAAAGTGACCTGTTATCGTGGCCTATGGAATGTGACCCGTACACACAAAAGAATGCTCTCCGTTAGTTTTTCCGACAAACCACCAATTTCGTTTGTGCATGAAAAATTGCATTCGTGGTCCGATACAGGGTAAGAGACCCAGGGGTTTGCCAACTTCTAGACATTAGCAGAGTATTCCTCTAAAAGAAGTATGTAGCTGCTCTGGAGAAAAGGGCGAGTGCACTTTAGACCTGGCAAATCTGACAGTTGTCAGAAATTATATCTCGAACGTCGAGCTGACGTTCTTCTTTTCTCTTTCCTCTGTCCGAGGCTAGCCTCCCTCGCAGTTTCTTTTTAAGAGAAGAATTGGGCAGGTGGTAGTATTGAAATATAGCTTTCTAAAAACGACTGGCAGGGAGCTTCAGGATCGTTTGCTTTGTGTACATTTTTCGCCTTCCATTTCTTGATTTTATTACCTGTAGGTCAATAGGCCATCTCCGAGTTCTTAAAACTCTTACTTTCAAAACAAGGCGAAGCGTAAAAACTTTCTTATGAGGAGTTTAATTTGCGGTAGAATAAAAATTCATTTTCATATCATTGGCTTCGCACTTAGCCTCGCTTTGAAACAGAGACTTGGGGCAACTCAGAAATAGCCTTTTGGACACATGAGCAGTCGAAGCAAGAGTAACCGCGGTTCAGCATAGATTTGACCTTTATTTCTTAAATAAAATTTTTGCACCAGAAAAACGTTTCAAAAAAGGGTGTTTGGCCAGCTTGTTACGCGAAAGAATCTTACAGTATGGCCATTCAAATCAAACCTCTTATTCAGCACTGAATACTTTACGTGGTTGTTATATTGAAAATGGATTTTGTGGTTTTTCGTGAAATTTGACTGGAGAATCGAAGCTACAACTTTTATTTCCTCTTAGATTACCTCTCAAAACTTCCAGCAGATTCTGGGGACTTGAAGAATACCTCAGGTATGTAGTAAATATTTCCGTTAAACACATAAACCTTGTTGTGTTCTTTGCTCCCTCGGCTTAAATGCTTGCGGGCCTCTTTGCTCTGCTAACAATGTATGAACTTTGGTTACTGTGATCTTTTTAGATGCACTGGAAATAATCGCCGAGTCAGCTAGACATGCCAACGACAGCATGAAAAAAACGGTAAATGAATAAACCATGAATAATATTGTTTCATTCTAAGCGTAATCCCTCCTCTTGTTCATTTTTTAGGGCGCGTTCAATTGATACGGTTGACGAGATATTTAAACAAATTTTCCGCGTATTCTTATTCGGGAATACAATACGCCAGTCAGAGGAACGAGCCCTTAATATGTTTTGAGCCTAGTTAAGTGTATCTATTGATTAAAAAACCCAATGAAAAAAGTCTTCATTATCCTTTTAAAAACAATCCAGGTTACCCAAGTCTCAACTCTGCTATTAAATTTACTCACTAAAGTGTATTTCCCTTGTGAAAACAGGAACGATTCAAGATTCTTTTGGAAATTCAGGAAAGAATAGGAGATGATTATCCTCTTATAACGGCAAGCCGGGTTAGTACCTATCAAACCAAAATTGCTACGTCCAGTGAACTTAGCTTGCATTTAAAGAAAGTGGCTCTTTAAGTTGCTGCATGTTTGAATTGTATTATTATCATTATCATTATCATTATCAGCATCTTCATTATTATTATTATTATTATTATTATTATTATTATTATTATTATTATTATTAATATCAGCTTAACTTCCCATGTTACCTTGCCCACTGGCAAACGAAGATAAAATCTCTGTAGGGCACTCAACACATAAAGTCATAAGTGCGCCGCAACCAGCGCTGAAAGAGTGAATTGGGACAAGCAACGACTTTGAATTAAATTGTTTTCGTTGTTTTTCCTGTCTAGGAATTAGTCATGGAGGGAGAATTCAGAAAGGTAGCTGCAAGGACAACTGATAGTCATCAAGAAAGAACTCTTATGCTGGTGAGCGCTAGTTAACAAATCGACCACAATTTTACATGGTCTACACTCTTATAGACCATAGAAATGACGTCATAAAATGTTCAAAACTCAAGTGGAACCACGACCCGCTTTTTGTAGAAGAGCAAAAAACATCTATGTTAAGTCAATTTCTGACAAGACACGCAAGTAGTAGCCCCGTCATGTTTGTCACCCTCAAGCGTTTTGCCGTCCTCTTCTTTCTGCCTTCCTGTTCCGTTAAGTCACTATTGTGTCGTGACCTTGAAGTAGGCAAAGACAGTGTGCGCTGATGAAAAAAAGAATTCCAGCCATAACAACTTTTTCGTTTGCATTCCTTAGTTCAATGACGTTCTTCTTTGCTGTGCCAAGTTTCCTGGAACAAACAGATATAAAGTGAAAGTGGAGATGGACTTGTATGGAATGGAGGTGGACTCTGTAGATGAAGAGATTGAGGTGGAAAATGCTTTTCGCATCACCAGCAAGCAAAGGGTGATGGACTTCACCGCAGCATCCGGTGACGCAAAGTGGACATTCATAAACAAAATTGAAGAGACAATAAACGAGCTTACCATAAAACGAGAAAGCTATCGAAGGGGGAGCAAGATCGAAGTCATTCAAGAGGGGGACTTGGGCAAGAAGGCGCCGGCCTGGGTACGAGACGAAGCAGTGAGCATGTGCATGCTATGTGACGTTTTGTTCACAAAGTTTCGGCGGCGACACCACTGTCGCGCCTGTGGGAGGGTGGTCTGTGGACATTGCTCGAGCTTCAAAGCCGCTCTGGAATACAAAAAGGGAAAGTTGGAGAAAGTCTGCCAGTGTTGTCATAAAGTTCTTGTGACAGGTTCCAGCGAAGAGAAAGCTAAGGAAGCCGTGGCAAAAGGAAACAGTATACTTAAAATCGGTAACGCGAATATTTGGCAAAGTGGATATTTAAACTTTAAAGTTAAAGGTGACAAAGGATGGCAAAAGCGGTGGTTTGTCCTGACGAGTGAATTTGTTCTGCTCCGTTACAAAGCAAAGAAGGTAAGGTTCTAGACTATTATCTTAAATATCATAAGCGCCATTTGCATTACGTAAACATTTTTTCACATGTGCATAAGTTGAAGCAAGGAGTGGTATGCTCCATAGCAGCTCCCTTTCGTAAGATCGTCAGGATCGAGCGCTCACTGGTACTAGACTGCGAGCAGTCTCTTATTTTTCTTTTCAAAGTTGCTGCACGCGAAACCCACGCGCGCGAACCGCGATAATCCTTTAATGTGACATAACGTCGCGGTTTGCATTTGCGCCGGCTGAGATAAGAACTAGACGGATTTTAAGAGAAAAGGCGGGCTGCAAGCAGTCTAACTGATACGGGCGGCCGTCTTGGTTTCGTACATTCATCCAAGATGGCCGCCCGTGAATCAAGGCTCTCGATCTCGATGATCTCACGAGAAAAAAGGAGTCTGAACAGCGTAACCCCTACCCTGCTTCCTCATCGCCCCCCCACCCAGCCCCGCCACAAATTTGCACAATTTAAACTTGCGCTTCGGACTCGAAATAGGCTAATCAACAGCTTTCAACTATATATCACTCGTTAAGGAGGCCGTGACTCTCCTTTTCATTAAAGAAAAATTCTTCTAAAAACTCATGGCAAAAATTTATCGTCGTGAGCCATTAGTTTGGATCATCCGTGACGTCAGTCCTACCAACTTGGCGGGAAATTCAAGTGGCCGGAATGTTAAACGTTTTGCCAGTTTCTTTCTTTTAAAATGACCCCGCTAATGCTTTTATAGTTTAACCAGTGTAATTTTTTTTATTTCTTGACACAGGACAGTAAAGCAGAATCAAACCTGCCTCTTCCAGGTTACACTGTTGACAAACCTACTTTGGTAAGTAGATAAGTTAGTTTTGTGGTTGGTTGGTAGGCAAAGTCTCGAGAGACAATGCTTGTGCGCCCTTGTCAATCCGTGGCGCTGCTGCAACATCTTGTGCGACTGCAGTGTAGGCCAATGCGCGAGGGGCAGTCCCTTCTGCACACGGCGCAGATGAAGTTGAAGGCGGGGAGAGTTTTTGCGGCGAGCGCGCTTCTCTTCCGCTTTCTGGTGACGTTTCTCCAGTTTGAATAGCTGCCTTTATTCAGTAACGTGTACATAGAGTCAGTTCAGCGATTTACCCTGACGCTAACTGTATAGCAATGTGGCGTATGACCCACAACCTTAAGATAGGTTTTCTGAATTTCCTTCAAGGCTGACGAAGTGGACCGCAAAAATGTGTTTAAGATGCATCATAAGAATCTCAGGGTTCATTTTTTTCAAGCAGAAAGCGAAGAAAGTCTGATCAGGTATGTACTTTATTATATTTTTATTTTATTAGCTTCGCCGAAGGAACAAACAAAAAAACCATACAACGTAATTTAACTAAAGAGGGGGGTCGCCAGGGACACCACAACAGAATAAAAAGAGTTAGCCTGCGTAGCAGGCCCTTGGAGGTAGTGGGTGAAAGAGAGAACGGGCGCGCGCGAGGGAGACACGCGTGTCTCCTTCTCGCGTGCGTTCTCTTTTTCGCCCACTACTTCCAAGCGCCTGCTACGCCGGCTAAAAAAGAGTTTGAAATGTTAAGAACGACAAAATACAAGAAAAGAGACTAACTACATACTACAAACGATCGTACGAGATAGCGGACGAACACCATTACATTTTAAACAAACAGTCTTAAACGTAGGCGGGTCATCGCCGTCAAAAGAAGTGGCCAATAGGGAGCTTAAGCAACAACGTTTTTGAGCGACGCACGTCAACCGGAAGTGGCCTTTTTTCATTTTTTAACGGTGGTTTCGCGCAAATTTTCAGTCAAATCGCCCTTATAACAGTAAAGAAGCTAAGGAATACAAATTTTATATCATCAAGGCATGTTAAGAGGGAAAATACCTCACTTCCGGTTGACGTGCGTCGCTCAAAAACGTCGCTGCTTAAGCTCCCTAATAAGCGATTTAAATAACGACAAACTCGGCACCGTCTGATATTGCTCTTGGAAATCGTGCATTGCGCGCCCAAAGTTATCTGCTAGCAGATAACTACAGTCGACTCCCGATAACTCAAACCGTCTCGGGAAATCGAAAAAAGTTCAAGTTATCGGGAGTTTGAAACAAATAACCGGAAATAAGAAAATAAGTAACTGGATGGGAGAGAATGCAAGAAAAAGCAACGAAGTATACAGGAATGGAAACTGAATTTGAACTGGAGTGACAATAAAATAAAGTCAAAGAATTGACACGGTTGAAAATGTCTCGGACTTCAGCACACGGTTTTTTTTCCTGGCTTGTCACGCGCTTATAACGCGGTTCGAGTTATGGAAAAATCATATAGAAACGATCTGAAGGGAAACAAAAATTACTTCGTAGTTAGCTAGGGTTCGCATTACCGAGGGTAAAATAACAGTAAATGTATGAAGGAAATCCAGGAGAAATCGACTTTGGTTCGAGTTAGCTCGAGGTTCGAGTTAGCGAGGGTTCGAGTTATCGGGAATCGATTGTATCTAACCTGTAGGTTGCGCTGATTTCCAAAATTAACTGTAGGCTTTTAGCCAATAGGAAGATAGATAGTGAGTGCAATGTATAATAACCTCAATAATTATTCGCTGTTTCGTTAGGTGGATGGAACTGCTAACACAGGCGACCAGGGCTGAAGAGATTGACGTCAACATGCTGCAAGTCAAGAAGAAATATGAACGATCAAACAGCAGTTAATGTCACACTTTACGTGGATGGATGCTTAAAGATATTCAAAGGATACCGAGTTGAGTCCGCAAATAGAAGTTTCATATCTACAAACGGCTACACGGGGAGCAAAGAAGTTAGGTTTAAACTCAGTTCTCTTGTGGCGCTATTGTACATGTGGCTGTACCAGCCCGTGTGAACACAACCTTTTTCCCTTTTTCTCCATAAAGGAGTCCGGTCCCAGGCTATAGGTCGATAAATGAGCGGTGGTAGTGTCATGTGATCGTGTTTCCAGTCTGGTCGGGCTATCATTGAATAGGTCTCAGACTACAGGAGCGATTGTCACACGAATGACGTCGAACGAGGAGCAAAGCTAGATGCTGAGGAGCCTGTAAAACAGGCGCCATTTTGTCGCGTTTTTGTAGGCGAGCGAGGAGCGCCAGACTTGCGCGACCTGCCTTGCCCCGTTTGCGCGTCTCTGGTGCTCCTCGTTTCTCTGAAAAACGCAGAAAACTAACGCCTGATCTGCAGGCTAAATGCCGAGAAAAGCAAGACTAATAAGAGCCTATGGTCGCTTTTGATTAGCGGTCAATAATTTTCAAATCAAAAAGGCCCTCAAAGGGCTCGTTCATCACACAAAAATTAACTTAGGTTAGACCCTAGTAAGTAGGGTGAACTATGTTTAGAAGGAGACTTTTTGGTGAACAAATCTTAGGATTGCATTTTTAAAGTTATAAAATTCTTTTCCGCGTCGGATGACGCTACAATTGGTTACGTTTAGACGTTCAAAAACTGAAGTAGCTCTGAAATCAAGTGTCAAACATGAATCCAGACTTCTGCTCACAGTGATCCTATTTATTTTCCCTTCAGTCACTAAATGACACTATTTTGAGATGACTGTGGAAATCTGTCAGATTAGGTTGAGTGAACACTCCAAATCTTTGTTTTTTGTTCTACGTGGAACGTTATTCGTCATTTGCATATCTCCCGTAATACACCTCCCCCCCCCTCCCCCCCCGCCCCAAGTTTTGCGTACAGCCGTCCCAAGAGAAACTGAAAACAATGCTTATGCAAAATTTTGGGTGGCAAACAATATGTATTTTGCGAGATATGCAAGTGTCAAATACCAATTTGGTGTGATGGGTCCCCTGTTTGTTCAACTTGTTCTTTCCGGTTTCTAGCAAGAAAACTAGAGGATTTTCGAATTGGAACCGTTGGGTTCTACCAGTATGTACAAATGAGTGACTGTTGGAGACAACCCTGCTATCAAAGCCTTTCTTCCCTTGCTTGATTTTGAGGTACTCAATCAGGAAAACAAAAGGAGACTCTGGTTACAGGAAGGATGGAGGCTACCCTTGAGTGGTAAAGACGTCACTGATCTTAATTAACTTCATTTCGGTAAAAAAAATCCACTCATCTAGACCTTATGCTTGGTCACTAGCACATTGTTATGTTTATCATATGTGAGACGATTAGTTATTTTTAAACCTTGAGTGTTGTTCTTATCATGAATCAAAGCTTGATACCCAACCAACATCTGTTATACACATCCGGGTGATTGGGCTGTTTTGGAATAGCACTGGCTATAAATAGAATTCGCAAGATTTCCAAGTGTGGTTTTGGCTGGTCAGAATGGCAGCACCTAGTAGCTTGGTAAAGTGTTGCTTAGCAAACATTCAATCCTTTCGTACATCAAAATCGAGCAAGCGAAAGAAAGGTTCTGGATGAAGAGTGGTTGGAGACTACCCTTGAGCGGTAAAGACGTAGAGAAAGCTGTTGTTTTCTACACTACAAGAACGAAATAAGACAACTCGAGGTTCGTTTTGACTAAATTTTATTTTAAACAATAGAAAAACACCTTCTATTTAAACTTTTTGTATAAAGTTTTTAAAGAACCCTTGTCTGTAATGTCAGCCATGCCATTGCCTCATTTTAAACTAACAGGAACATTGCAGGAGACGATTTCCGATAAAAGAGAGGTTAAGCAAAGACGTTTTTGAGCGACACACGTCAACCAAAATGGAGCACTTTTCCCTTTTAATATGCCTTGATACTACTAAATTTGTATTGGTAGGAGGTTCCTTTACTCTTAAAGAGACGATTTGCTCGAGAATGTGGGCAAAACCACTGCCAAAGAATGTAAAAAGTCCACTTCCAGTTGACGTGCATCGCACAAAAGCATCTCTGCTTAAGCTCCCAAATTTACAATCACATGTAAGATCCTACAACATTAGAGACTGGGTCTACTATTACACTACTTAAGTAATGCAGAGATATTAGTATCAAGCACATTATGAAGAGCAGAAGTTATTTTGTAACAATATATTGTTTGTACATATGAATATGTTAACTAGATAATATTATTAACAGCACTGTAATAACTATAAAGAAGTTTTATGAGAGATGTTATTGCCTAAGGCACAGTTGGTTTTTTAATGCTTATAAAAACGTTTAGTTAAAAGAGAATGGTCTCTACTCTTAATTTGTTTGATTTTCTAACTAATCAACCAGCATTAATTTGAACTCTTAAAGCCCTAAGAGTGACTAACATCAAATTTCTTAATGTAATATCAAAGCCATACAAAATAAATTAGTGATGAGAATTAAGGACAAGATAAAACAAGATGAATCTAATTGATACTTCAACAAATTCTCCCCAGAATCTAAATTTTGATGTCAGGGTTTAATTACCGTATTTCTTCAAAGAATAGCCAGGGCAAGCTTTTTTTCTGTTCTCTCACATCAAAAGGGGGCGATTATTGGAGCGAAGACGATTATTTAAGGGAAGCGACTACTGGTATTTCAAATATTGTTCACTGGAAGTCGTCCCAAAAACATTTTTTGTTTTATCATCCCTTATCAATTATGAAGAAATAATAAATGAAATGATATGTGTGGAGAGAAGAACACAGAAAAAATTCTGAGTTCTGGGAATTGAACTTACAACCTATCTTACACCAAAGAAATAATCACATCAAATAAACTGAACATGGGCTTTTTTTTAGTCCAAATTTGGTTCCTTGATTGAGTTTCACTGTCAATATTGTAAGTGCCAGGGCTTGAATCATCACTGATCAGTTTTGCTTCACCTTCATCCTCCAGTTTTACTTCTGTGGGTAACCCTGCATTGGGGTGAGGAGGAGGGGAGCCATTACTTTGAAGGAGGTGATTACTTTAAATATTTCCGTCAAAAAGGGGGGTGATTATTCAAGGGAGGTGATAAATCAAGGGATGGCTATTAGTAAAAAAAATACACTAACCGAGAGGAAAACCAGACCACTGTATCCCACTCTCTGCCTGGCACTGCCATATTTTCAATCTGCTTGTTAGATCATTAGATTTACTTGGCCCCAGTAGATGGTGCACACGTTCGCTAGATTAGGTTTCTACTGGTAAGGCCATTCTCTCTTAGTTTTGTATTTGATTTGAATATATTTTTAGAACTCCTTAACTCTAGAGATCCTGAGAGCAAAACTTTTCCCAACATACCCCAGCCTCATATGTCCACCCAGCCTGTTGGATTATATCTGTCTTCTCTACCTTCTAGAGATGGGTCTTCAGAGAACAAACAAATGGATTCAGAATGTAAAATTACAAAGCTCAAAACATTTCGCCCCTAAAATAGTAAAAAGAAAAATTATTTACACTGGAGGATACTTAAAGGGGCTAAGGCACAAAGTAATGACTTCAGCACAGAATTGACCTAAAACAGCAATATTCTTGTGACATATCCCCCTTAACATCATCAGCTTCTTCAAATTTCATACAAACTTTCCTTTGCCAAACTGTGGCAGGGTGCGCCAAAAATTTTCTTATCCACTTGTCCTTCGGACAAGCACTATATCAAATTTGGTTGTCCGAAACCCAAGGGTTCTTGTCCAAAAAGTTTTGCTCAAAACTAAAAAACAATCGGGCATATATTTTACTGCTTATTATCACATAAAAGACAGCCTTTTTGCAGGTAAGTTAACAGGCCTGGTTACTAAGGTTAGGTTCCTAAGCCAAATGGAGCTCGTAAAAAAACAAATGATTGAAATGGCTGTGGAATGGTGAAGTTTTAAAGGAATATTTAACCTTATTTTGACAAGCATGAGGTTTGCTTTTATGACTATAACATAATTTTAATTCTACTGTAATTTGAAGTCAACTTTCATCTGTTTCTGTATGTTTTCTAATTCAAAATGTGCTTGTCTCACGGACAAGTTATGTCAAAGGTTTACTTGTCCGAACTGTCTTTCTACCTGTCCCGGACAATCAGACATAGGTTTTGGCGCACCCTGTGTGGTGATTAGGACTATGATAAGCTCTTTTTTTGGTACAGTTGTACATCACCTTGATCTTAAAAGAACTGGCCTATGTTGCAACCTTACATGTCTTTAAAATGTCCCTTGGAATTCTCAGAGGAGCCAAAGCAATTGGATTTGAGATGAAAGGAACACTTGCACAGTGCCTCCACTCGTTTTTTTCAACATCAAAAATCCGCAAGAAACTATCAGAACTATCTTGGTTCCACTTTCCAATAACATAAATGCTTCCTTTGAAACTTGTCACACTAAAATAGCGTGTTGGTGCAGATATACCCTGAACAGCTGTCCACACATTTGAAGTTGGGTCATACATGTCAATGCTTAAAGATACCACTAAGGGTCGAGTCCTGAAAAAACCTCCAAATAGAAACACTCTAGAATTTAAAATTGCACCACAAGGGAGCACTTTCTTCTCTAGCATTGAGGCAACTCTACACCATGAGTTCATTTTGGAGTCAAATTTTTCTACTACATCCAGCACTTGATTGTTTGCCAGACCTCCAATTGCATAGATGGTCTCCTTGTCAGCTATAGCACACACTGCAGCTCTGGAAACATTCATTGGTGCTACTTCCTGCCATAGGTTTGTATCAGGATTGTACTTATACACACAGTTTACACACCCCACATTACCTGTCTTTTCACAAATGACATACAAAAACCCTTGGAAATTGGCCACACTTACAAAGTTGTTCGACATCAGACCACTGTAACACATCAGAGGTGCCCATAAGTTTATGACTGGATCATATCGCTCCATTGCTAGATCAGGGCCCGGTTTGTTGCTGGTGTACAGTTTACCATGAGAAGCACTCATGTGATAATATGCTGTGCCCTTTGTTTTCTCTGCCATATCATACCACTTGTTCTCAGCAGGAAGGTAGCAAAGTGTTCTTTTACCTACCCCAGAGACAACAAGGCAATCTTCTGTTGTTTTAAGACAGTTTCTTGGTGCTTGGGCAAAAAAGCACTCTTCAGAGCCTGAAGAGACATCTTTTACTGCATCTAAGACAAAAGCTGTACATGCTTTGTCGTTGGTTACCAAAGGATGTGGGAAAATTTCATTCAAAACATAGTTGCGTGACAAGTAAATAAGACGAACATGACGAAACAAATCAAAAAATTTCTCACGATCTCCGCTCCCCCTTTTTTCCGACCACTTCACAACTGCCTGGAAAACGTCTTCCTCTCCTCTCACTCTGATTTCATCGCCTGATATCCACTTCTCCACCTCGCTGACGGTTAAGTTTAGAAAATCTTCGTGCTCAACAACGCTCGTGAAATTTCCGAAGACAAAATCTCTCGCTTTTTCCTGTAATTCAATGCACTGATAATTCACAGCCAAATAATATACCATTAGACAGTTTGAAGAGGACAATGTCTGTATGATGAACTTGCTTGAAACCTCTTTCAAACTGGGAATCACCAAAAAATCAGCTATCTTTAACAAGTCGAACGCGTTGTGTTGCGTGACATTCACGTGTCCGGTGTAAAGATAGTCTAACAATTCCTCGATCGCAACTTTGCTCGTATCTTCTAATCTAATAAGTCCTTCTTTGCTTTCCTTCATGTCATTGTTAAGGGCACTGTAGAAAAATGGGCTTCCTGCGCATAATACGATCCTGTGAGCGTTGAAGCGAGCTTGATCCTCGCCGTTGCACACCTCCAACACAACATCGCAGAACTGCTCATTCTTTCTTTGAATATCGAGACGTTTCATCATTTGCACGCAAAACTGTTGCATGTCAGTCTCCTTGATTGGTTCCCACGATGAAGTTTCGATCAAGACCATGATAATGCACGAGTTTAATCGGTTAAATAAGGAAAATATACGCCTTTTCCACCCACTATTAAAGCAGTCAGGTCACGATGAGTCTTCTCTTCAAAAGGGCGCGAAAAATGATACCACTGCGCATGATCTTGAGAGATCCCAGCTGACACAGCGGTCGACACAGCTGATATAAGCCGAGTGGCTCTGGGGACGAGAATGGCACGGCGACGGTCCATTCGGTCCATCACTCTGCATAGCGGGCGGACAGGGAGAAAAAAACGCGTATCTTAAATTTACTAATTTATCACTTGATCCATTTTGCTCACTCGGGATTTTCCACTTTGGTGCTGCAAGAATCAGAAAAAAATTTCTTTTTTTGGCCATTTAGTAAATTCTTTATTGCTGCGGAGCGACCGCAGGGAGCGAGCAGCAACACTGAATCAGGATTTAAAGGAAATATATAAGGGGCGATGAATTCTCGAATTCATCACTTTTTACCACAATGCATTGCACTTAACCACACTTTTTACCACAATGCATTGCATTTAACCAGAGTGCATTGCGCCACGGACAACTCAAATAAAAACACGGGGAAGTTCGCATCGTTCGCTGCCCAAACTCAGAGTTTTCTTTGTAGCAAATTTTCTACAGCACGGTTAGAGGCCTTACCAAATTTAAGACACGCAGGAGTCTTTCAGATGAGTACGATGGTTAACTTGGGGATTGGTTTTTAATTCAAGAGCCTTTGACTCATCCAGGTCACTGAGGTGTTAAACCTGACGAGAAGATGAGCATTTGCTCTTCGACTCTGCAACACGGGGGATATACAAATTCCAGCTTGCTAGAAGGTGATGTGAAAGTAAGAAAATGTCATGCCATGCTATTCTTAAGAACCTGCATGAGCCGAAAATGAATGTGATTTTGACCATTCGCTTCAAAATAACAGCGGAAATCGAGATGACAAAACATATGTTTTGTGTCCTACGTTGCAGACGAGGACGTGTATCGGCGTTTTGAAAAGCATAATTATGTTCTTTCATTTATTCATTGCCGTGGAATATGCGTTTACATTGTTTTTTACTGTTAATAGCTCGATTAATGAGGCAGGCGATCATCTTGCCGGCGGAAGTTTCATGGAAAAGGCATTAAAGTAAAGACTGTTCCTAAAGTTACCTGTTGAGTCTCTGTGGTGTAGTGGTTAGTGGTTAGTGGTCGCGTCGAGCCGATGGTGCTGGGTACGAGTCCTACCTAACTCTTTTTTTCCTTCTTTCTTTTTTTTCCGTTTTTTGTGTTGTTGTTTTCTATAAATATATAGCTATATAACTGTTACTTAATAAAGTGCAATAAACAGCAAGGAAAGTATCGTGTTTCCAGAGAAAAGATAGTACACCGTATACTAAATATATCGATAAACAATCTGAATTTCTATCATTTCCTACAATTTACTGTGGGAAAACCAGAGTTGATAACCACTTGATCATTTTCTAAACAACGTTCCCGCGAGTTCTCTCTATAGACTGATAGTAATTATTCTAGTACTTTCCAACATGTAAATGGGACATTCAATGTCATTTTCGATTACTTTAAGTCCCACTGCCTAACTAATGCCAGTATCAACAGAATGTGCCGCAGCATTACTATCTTTTAGATACCCTAGTTATCGACTAGTTAACTAAGCTTGTTCAGTCAAGATTAAGGATGGATATCGGCCTCGGGTTTTTTTGGCGATGCTATTGACCTTAAAAACAAAAAATGGGCGCTTGAGAAGAGCATGTGACAACTGCTGAAGAGTACAACGAACATAGGTGTACGGGCAATTTTTTGCCCGGGGGTGGTAAAACATTTGCCCAAAAAATTCTCGCAAGTTGCCCAAATTTTTACGAAACAGTAGAAAAGAAACGAGGGCCATACGATGCAATAATGTAGGCCGTACTGGCATATGAAGGTGGCTCGATGCTATGACAGTTTTTCAGGGTCAATACCTCCCAATTTTGAGAATAACTACGTCGCCATAGACAAACATTTGGAAAAACTGCTACTATCGTTTTATTAGATGAAAATTTATAATGAGCAGGGTTTTAATGAAATCGGAATTGTCATAGCAACGAAATGACGCTATTGTCTATTTTACTTGCAGCAATATTTCTCTGATTTCTCGGCACTGGGAACTGTTCCTACAAAATTGTTCACGGGAGTTTTTTTCTCCAATAGTCGCCTCGATGTTCGTGAAGTTAAAAAGGAATCTATAGGAGTGTTATTGGGATATTTTGGGATGAAGCTTTGATCGTTATAAATATGGTTGAAAAATATCTTGATGTTTGGCCGTTATTTGTAGAAAACGAAGCTCTTTGGACATGCAATTTCACCTCATGGTAGCTTCAATCTTATTAAAAACGTGTGTAAAAGATATTATCATCGAGTTAGCTCCGGCCGATTGCTAGAGACAAGGATGTCATTAGTATGTATCGAGGCGCTCTTGTTAGCGGTTTTGTAAACATTTCGGTCTACTTTAATAAATTATTGCTTGATAGATTTTTAAACAAATTTAATATTCTTCTCGTAATTCGAGCTGAGTACTAGTCAGCCACTTCTACATTTTCACACCCACTGTTGCTGATGCTATCTGCCGTACGCTGTTCTACCAGCAGAGATGATTCTAGAAAGATATCCGGAAGTTTATTCTAATCAATTCACGACTGGAAAGAACCCATTCCAGTCAGTGCACTGCACTACAGTGCTCAACAAAAAAAAAAAAAATGTAAATCAACAAATGATGCCCTTCCCTATAACCAGAAACTCAACGCGTGCTAGGAAACCACTGTGAGTGTCTCGAGAGAAAGTAACTGGATTATTACACTGACTTCAGGATTTTTTCAGATTAAAATAGAAAATATTTGTCTCTTTAGACTAATAAAAAAACATGGAAACGTCTTTGAAAACTGGCTTTGCCCAAATTTTCTCTTGCTGCCCAAAAAGTCTGAGTTTCCCAAAATTTGGGGGGGCTGCAGCCCCCCCCCCCCCCCGGCCCGTACGTCTATGAAAACGAAAATAGTAGAATGGTGAGGGACTTAAGTGAGTAAATGAGGGACACTCCAACGTCAACCTCGTTCCCAGGTTCTCTCTCCAACGTGTCCTTTTTACAATGCGCTGCACTAGGAGCGCTGCACACCTCCCCACGCTCCCTGGAGAAGAACGTTGCGTGACGACCCAAGACTGCAAAACGTACTAAAGTCAGCAAATTGACTAGACATCAACTCGATTCGTTGTTCAGATGGACCGAAATTGAAAGTGTAGTTGTATCCAATGAGCATTTCCACTTTAAGTCCTAGTTAGACTTTATAGAGAACTGATACCATTTTCTGGTTGTTTTAAAAAGCAGTATGGTGCCCCATTTCGAAAATTAATTAAGCCCCCCCTCTCTATTTACCCCCCCCCCCGCCCGCCCCCACTTCGCCCCACTCCTCAAAGGTGCTTGAAATGAATAAGCCCCCCGGAGGGTTAATAGAGGATTTACGGTAGCTTGGTAAATTAATATTGTTGCTTACCAAACGTTCAATCAAAAGGTTTGGCCCCAAGAACTTGACCTTGCTCTGTGGATTCAACTCATTTTTTGTATCTCTGGATAACTGAGACAAAAATAGCCTGAGTATCAGGCCTTCCGAAGGGGCTAGGGTAGAGGAGATTTTAGATCAGAAACGACTGATTCTCAGGCTAAGACAAAAACTGCTTGTCCTCTTCCTTAGGTTACCTTACTGGTGGCACCCATTCTTTATCAGGAGAATCCTTAAGAGAACAGATGAATAAAACGTTCCTTTATTCAATGTCTAATAAGATAGTTAAGTAATTTGTTAAACAGTTAACTGAGCCTGGGTTAAGCTGATGCACGGGTTAAATACTATTAGCTGACTCTTTTTCAACATCAACAATAAATTCAAGTGGCCGGAATGTTAAACGTTTTGCCAGTTTCTTTCTTTTAAAATGACCCCGCCAATGCTTTTATAGTTTAACCAGTGTAATTTTTTTTTATTTCTTGACACAGGACAGTAAAGCAGAATCAAACCTGCCTCTTCCAGGTTACACTGTTGACAAACCTACTTTGGTAAGTAGATAAGTTAGTTTTGTGGTTGGTTGGTAGGCAAAGTCTCGAGAGACAATACTTGTGCGCCCTTGTCAATCCGTGGCGCTGCTGCAACATCTTGTGCGACTGCGGTGTAGGCCAATGCGCGAGGGGCAGTCCCTTCTGCACACGGCGCAGATGAAGTTGAAGGCGGGGAGAGTTTTTGCGGCGAGCGCGCTTCTCTTCCGCTTTCTGGTGACGCCTTCTCCAGTTTGTATAGCTGCCTTTATTCAGTAACGCGTTCGTAGAGTCAGTTCAGCGATTTACCCTGACTTTAACTGTATGGCAGTGTTGCGTATGACCCACAACCTAAAGATAGTTTTTCTGAATTTCCTTCAAGGCTGACGAACTGGACCGCAAAAATGTGTTTAAGATGCATCATAAGAATCTCAGGGTTCATTTTTTTCAAGCAGAAAGCGAAGAAAGTATGACCAGGTACGCACTTTATTTTATTAGCTTCGCCAAAGGAACAAACCAAAAAACCATACAACGTAATTTAACTAAAGAGGGGGGTCGCCAGGGACACCGCAACAGAATAAAAAGAGTTGGCCCGTGTAGCAGGCCCTTGGAAGTAGTGGGTGAAAGAGAGAACGGGCACGCGCGAGGGAGACACGCGTGTCTCCTTGTCGCGTGCGTTCTCTTTTTCGCCCACTACTTCCAAGCGCCTGCTACGCCGGCTAAAAAAGAGTGTGAAATGTTAAGAACGACAAAATACAAGAAAAGAGACTAACTACATACTACAAACGATCGTACGAGATAGCGGACGAACACCATTACATTTTAAACAAACAGTCTTAAACGTAGGCGGGTCATCGCCGTCAAAAGAAGTGGCCAATAGGGAGCTTAAGCAACAACGTTTTTGAGCGACGCACGTCAACCGGAAGTGGCCTTTTTTCATTTTTTG